TTGCCTCGAGTGATGGCCCGTGGACCAGGATAGATAAGAGTAGTACAGCAAGTTCCACCCATAAAGGTCCCGGCGCATCTACCGTAATCTACAGTAGGGCTTCCGGAATCTCCCTGTAGCAGCTTATATTACTGGCACCGATCCAGCTTTTGATCCCTTCTCTTTTCTTCCACAGGCCCTACCGTGGAACCGTCCTCCCTTTCCCCATAGTACTTAAGGACCCCAGATCTCCTTAGTACCCCGACAATCCCCTAGGACTTCCCTCACCATGTCGTACTCGTGGGTCGGCCCTCCGGCGCAGTTCAATGGCACCGATGATATCACTGGTGGTGACTCTGGTGAGTACAAGTCCCCATGTACCATTGCGCACGTGCCGAGCGCAACATCCGCATCGTGTGCGACAGAAGGCTAACATGAACATCAGTCACCGAGAACTTGAACCAATGGTTCTCTGCGGGTGACCAGGCCTACATCCTCGTGGCCTCGGCCATGGTGATGATCATGGTTCCCGGTCTCGCATTCCTCTACTCCGGTCTTGCTCGCAGAAAGTCCGCCCTCTCCCTCATCTGGGCCTGCATGTTCTCCGCCTCCGTCATTACCTTCCAATGGTACTTCTGGGGATACTCGCTCGCTTTCGGACCCTCAACGAACGGTTTCATCGGAAACCTCGACAAGTTCGGTCTCAAGGGCGTTCTGGCTCATCCCAGCCCCGGTAGTCCTTTGATCCCAGAGTTGCTGTACTCCTTCTACCAGGTACGAAAACCATTACTATGAACCGGTTTCGACGAACTAACACAATCCAGATGCAATTCTGCGCTGTCACTGCTGCCATCGTCGTCGGTTGCGTTGCTGAGCGCGGTCGCTTAATCCCCATGATGGTCTTCATCTGGCTCTGGGCCACGATCGTATACTGCCCCGTCGCATACTGGGCCTGGAACGCAAACGGCTGGTTCTTCGCATGGGGTGGACTTGACTACGCCGGTGGTGGTCCCGTCGAGATTGTCTCCGGTTGCACAGCTCTCGCCTACTCCATGATCCTCGGACGTCGCCAGGAGAAGATGATGCTCAACTTCCGCCCTCACAACGTCTCCTTGATCACCCTCGGAACCGTCTTCCTGTGGTTCGGCTGGTTGGGCTTCAACGGTGGTTCCGCTTTCGGCGCCAACCTCCGTGCTGTCATGGCATGCTGGAACAGCAACCTTACCGCCATGTTCGCCGCTATGACTTGGGTTCTCCTCGATTGGCGCCTTGCTCGCAAATGGTCCATGGTCGGATGGTGCTCAGGTGTCATCTCCGGACTTGTCGCTGCTACTCCCGCTTCTGGTTTCTTGCCTCCATGGGCCAGCGTCATCCTCGGTATTACCACCGGTATCGTTGCTAACTTTGCCACCAAGAGTATGTACCCTTCTGGAAAACCTTTCATGAACAGCTCACTAACTTCTCTCTAGTCAAGTTCTGGATCAAGATCGACGATTCTCTCGATGTCTTCGCTGAGCACGGCGTCGCTGGAATGTGGGGTCTTTTCTTCAACGGAATCTTCGGTGCCGACTACATCATCGGACTCGACGGAGTCAACAACGGCCTTACCGCTGGTGCCATCACCGGCGAGCCCGCCGCGATCTACAAGCAGATCGCCTACATCGTCGCCGTAACCGCCTACTCCTTCGTCGTCAGCGCCATCCTCGCTTTCGTCATCGACAAGATCCCCGGCCTCAAGCTGCGCGCATCCGAAGAGGCAGAGCTCCTCGGTATGGACGACGACCAGCTCGGCGAGTTCGCCTACGACTACGTCGAGGTCCGCCGTGACTACCTCGCATGGACTCCAGCTAAGGGCGAGCCCATCGACGGCGAGCACTCGGTACCCCAAGGCGAGCGCCATGGCATCCCCCAGCACAGCCAGATGCTCGAGGGCAAGGCACCATCGGAACACAGCTCAGGCCACGAGCACACGGGCATTGCGGGCGACAGGCACGCCATGGCCATGGGCTCCGAGCACGAGAAACAGGTTCAAACCTAAGGGCCTTTTCTCTTTGCTACCTGCGCATTGCTGATTTGGATTTGTTGCTTGCGACTTTTTTGAGTCATTACCCGTTTCGAGATACCACCTTGCGCTGCTCCTCCTCCGCGGTCTTTGAGTTGTGCTTTTTGACATATACATTTAGATGATTGTATTAAAGTTTTTTTCCTTAGATCTCATGTATTGTACATAATTCGAGAATGGATACATCAAACATCATTATCACTCATCCTACAATTCCCCATGTGCATTCCAAATCATCCATACTCACCCAATCCTATACCAACACATTCCACATCACCGACACGCGCCCAGCCTTTTCTTATCATGCTAAGCACGATCGACTCCCCCCCATTCGACGAATAGAATTGACTACACAACGACGCCAAGCCTACTCTCCTCACTTCCTTATCTTTTCCCGCTCCTCCAGACTGTGAACCCCAGATTTACGCAAGCAAGATGATGTCAGTTCACCGACGCTACCACCGAAGCTACCACTGAAGTGGGCTTGACATCTGCACGATGCATGAGCGACGCAGCCTTTTACCGTAGATGTCGAAGATGCGTATCTATATCGCGCATTGTGATATCGATGTGCTGAGATGCGGTGGGGATGGCTTATCTCAAGTCTCGGCGGCGTATGAGAGAGGTGTGTTGGCTATGCGCTACGTACATTATCTGCATATGCGGTTCGACTGATTTGACTGGTTGTTGTATGCGCAGCCTATTTCCAAGCCAAGACTATTGGATTTCATTTGATCCAGTGGTCTCGATCGCGATCGCAAGTGTTGGAATGGAAAGCGGGAACTACGATACCTCGCCGATCTGGCAAACGCGCTGGCTGCTGGCGCCGTTGGATGGACCTTATCTCTGGGTGTGCGTGTGGGCATGGGTGTACCGGTGAGGCGGGTGCGTGTGGGGGAGGCTGTGCAGTGGACTACTACCACTACTACTACTCACGTGCAAAGCTTCGATCAATAGTCGGAGGTTGAACGTTGATCTCGCATCGTGATGGTGTGCGACGGAATTAGAAACGAGGTGTGATGTCATTGGAGGAGGGTTAAGGAGATGGAACACGCTAAGAAATGATGGCACGCAAGCACACGTGAACAAAGCGAAGAAGTGTTCGTGATCGAGACAGAAGACGTTCGGGGCGAATAAGCAGGACAAAGGATTTCGGCTCGGGATCTTACACAAGACCACCCCCGCGTAGGACTGGGCAACGATGACAAAGGTCGCTGTTGAACGCAGCTTGTGTTAACGCTCGTAACAACGCCTCGTGGAGAATGCTCAAAGAAGTAGTGCAGCTCAGGAGGCGACTGAGGCTGATGTTATGGATGTCTGTAGAAAGGGTAAGTTTTTGTTGACGGTGAGATTGCAAAGTCGAGTTGTACGGATTGCAACCAACTCTCCCTTTTGGTGCACAAAATTGAACCAAGAGCTTCCAGCATGCCCGGAAGAAAAGCAAAAGACTCTCTCCAAATCTTCGCAACACCCTTCAAATCCTCATTTCTCTCCATCCCACCATCGCCATTCTCGCCGCGAACACCTCTCACACCTCCTCTTCCCTTCCGCCAGCAAGCCCACAGACCAACTCCACAAACCCCTCCCGGCTATCCAACACCTGAAGATGACGCACCATCAAGTCCCTTACCATGGATGTGGAAATGCCACCAATGCCACCACAACTATCGTCTTGGCGTAACGCGCCGCTGTCTCGAAGACGGGCACCATTTCTGCAGCGGCAGCACGACTATTAAGTCCTGGCGGAAGTCAAGTAATAAAAGGAAACAACGGAATCATCGTGCTTGTCCGAGTGAGTTTGACTACGAAGGCTGGAAGACGGTTGGGCGGTGGCGGAGGGGTGGACCGAAACAGAGTAGCAGGGCTGGAGTGCAAGGCAAGCAAGACTGCTGGAATAAAGTGGCAGTGGCAGAGAAGCAGCAAGACTGCTGGAACACATGCGACTACCCCTCCGAATGCCGTTGGGGCAAGAAATTCGGTGTTCATACACCCGTTGACTCTGTCTTCCCCTGTATCAGTAACGGAAGCGCCAACAACAACAACATCAACAACAGTATGCCTACACTGACCGCCCCTATTATTATCAACACCATCAACACGTTGCCTGAGGGTATCCTCAAACCAGGGGACTGTAGTGAGACCACCGCAACGAGGAAGAAAGATGTCAAGACGAATCTTTGGACTGCGTTGAGGGCTAGTGCGGAAAGGAGGAAGGGTGCTGGGGAAAGGGGTGGGAGTCCGCTGAAGGGGGTTGGGGAGAGTGGGAAGGAGGGGAAGGGAGGAGAAGGAGAAGGGGGTGGGGATATGGGGGGAGTGACGAGGGATGGGGATGGGGATGTTGCTATGGGGAGTTTTGATCCTGCTCTTCTCGATAACACAACAAGCGAGCCTTCACCTTCATCATCACAATCGCAGTCGGAATCCTCGTCTTCTTCTTCGTCAGCGGTGGACTCGCTGAAGGCCTTGGTTAGTAGACGCCGGTATCGACGCGTGAAGTCTCGTTCTAGGATGGGTGGTTCGGTTGATAAGAGATATGCTGAGACAGGGCACGTGGTGATGGGGAATGTGGAGGAGAGGATGGAAGATCAGGTTAGGCTGGATGATGAGGATATGATGGTGGAGGGGTTTGCGCCGTTGTGTCGGGTTAGGAGTAGGGATTGTTCTGTGTGAGATGGGGGGTTTGCTGATGAGTCTGCCTTCGACAATTATATAATATATGGCTTGGTCGTGAATGTCCAAGCAGCAAATGTGACCAAAATTGCGGCTAAAAGTGGCACTTCCGTCCCAGGTCCGCCAGCGCCCACGTTCCTGCAGGGATGCGCCTGTGCCTGACCCTTGACGCTCGGGCCATGTGCCTTCACGGAAGTCGCGCCCTGAACGCCGCTGCGCCGTCATCATTGTACCTTCACTTCTCTCTCACAGCGCGCCGAGCCTGATACACCGAGGCATCATTGCGAAGATGGTGCTCTCGTTTATCCTCATTCAGAACAGGCAGTAAGTGGGATTGTTTGTGGTGGGAGGTCTGGCATGGAGGAAGTTGTATCGGATGCTAATGGATTGTAGAGGGAAGACAAGATTGGCGAAGTGGTATGCGCCGTATAGTGTGAGTTGAGATACGGAAACACATTGAGAGACGTGGCAGTAGCTAACAAGTATGCAGGATGAAGAGAAAGTCAAGTTAAAGGGCGAGGTACGCGATACCCTCCTTCCTACCCATCCGTCCACCACTCCGACGCCTACCTTTCCTCCGAACTCAACTAAACCCCATCTACAGGTCCACCGCCTCATCGCCCCGCGCGACCAAAAACACCAATCCAACTTCGTCGAGTTCCGCAACATGTCCAAGATCGTGTACCGCCGCTACGCCGGCCTCTTCTTCTGCGCCTGCGTCGACACAAATGACAACGAGCTCGCGTATCTCGAAGCCATACACTTCTTCGTTGAGGTGCTAGATGCCTTCTTCGGGAACGTGTGTGAGCTGGACTTGGTGTTTAATTTCTACAAGGTGTATGCGATACTGGATGAGGTGTTTTTGGCGGGTGAGATTGAGGAGACGAGTAAACAGGTTGTGCTGACGAGGTTGGCGCATTTGGATAAGCTGGAGTAGGGAGGGTGAGAAGAATATACTACATGAATTACATGGTCGCAGCATGCCGCAAGGCTGCTTCGACGGGCACCTCGGGCTCGGATAAGAGGAACGAGGTCAGCAGCTATGAGCCGCTAAGGGCATACAACAGAGTTACGTATAGAGCCGCCCTGAGAGGGCTTGCGCGAGTATCTGAGGCGCCAGTAACCCCATGGTGGGTTGATATACTTCGAGGCTGGTTCGGTACCAAGATTTGGCCGGAAGAATAGCACGGAGAATTGCCTGCAAATCCTAGCAAATCCTGCAAACACATCGTTCGCGCAAATCTGTCCTACTTCTACATTCGGCGACACGCGAGTGAATGGACCTTGTCGTTCTTGCATGTGAGGGAGCGCACGGACGCGCTCTTATGATGGAAGCAGAGGTCTAGAAAATAGCCACATCATCAACCTTGGTTCTTCGCGATCTGTCCCTCCGCCTGTGCCCAAATCCCCCCAGCATGCTCGCCCCATGATATGAACATCTCTAACACCATTCCGCGCCCCGTTGTTCCTCCGCCACACGCCTGACCCGCCTCGAATCGTCCCGTCCGTCGAATCCACCGCAACATCCCCGCGCCGCGGCCATGTCTGACTTCGCCGCATACCACGCCCTCGGCACGGGCTCGCCAAACCCGAACGGAACCGGCAGACCAGACGAGCCCAACAAATGGCGCCCACCAGTCGCTGCGGGCCCTCCTGGCTACCAACAGACGGGCAGCCCGGCCATAGCCCAGCCTCCGAATCAGTACGCCGGCACACCAGCGCAATATGGCGCGCCAGTCCAGCAAGAAGGTTATTTCCCTGACCAGTCGGCGCTGCAGGGCCAGCCTCAGTACCAGGGCGATCAAGATGTGAACAACCTCGCGGGGCAAATGGGAGCAGTTGGGCTGGGTATGGATCAGGCGACACAACCCAAGCACAAGAAGAAGAACAGACATGCATATCATAATATTGAAGGGCCTGGAGGAAGTTCACCGGCGTTCAACGGAGCGCCGCAGAATGGCACACCTACCCAATACCAAAATTCGCCTCAAGTCGGAGGAGCGCAATGGATGGAGCCTCAGATTACTCCCGCCATGAGCCAGTTTCCCGCACCCGTAAACCCTATCTTCAGTCCTGGATCGCAGGCTTCACCTATGCAGTATGCTGCGAGAACACCAGCAGCACCACATCAGAGTGGAGGAGCGGCGGTTGGATCAGCTCAAGGACGTGTCGATCCCGAGCAGATTCCCAGCATACCGAAGTCGCGCGATGCGCCGGCGAAGTACTACCTAGAGAACGTATACCCGACTATGGAGCACCACCTACCGCCTCCCGCCACGGTCCCCTTCGTAGCCTTTGACCAGGGCAACTCCTCACCTAAGTTCGCACGTTTGACCATGAACAACATTCCACTCACTGCGCAAGCCCTTGCTGCGACTTCCTTACCGCTTGGTATGGTCTTGCAGCCGCTGGCTGCTCAACAAGAAGGCGAGCAAGCTATACCCGTATTGGACTTTGGCGAGTCCGGTCCACCAAGATGTGCAAGGTGTCGCGCGTACATCAACCCGTTTATGCAGTTCAAGGCTGGTGGAAACAAGGTCGTGTGCAACCTGTGTACATACCCAGGCGACGTCCCCGGCGAATACTTTGCGCCTACCGATCAGTCTGGCGTCCGGATAGACAGACTACAACGGCCGGAGCTCACTTTGGGCACTGTCGACTTCCTCGTACCCAAGGAATACTGGTCGAAAGAGCCTGTCGGTCTACGGTGGTTGTTCCTTGTCGATGTGACCGCCGAGGCTGTAAACCGTGGTTTCCTCCATGGCTTTTGTGAAGGCATCATGAAAGCGCTCTATGGCGAAGAAGCAGAGACAGAGGGCGCCGAGACTACGACTCGGATACCAAAGGGTGCTAAAGTTGGCATCGTCACATACGACAAGGAGATGCACTTTTACAACCTCAACGCCAGCTTGACGAGCGCTCAAATGCTCGTCATGTCTGACCTCGAAGATCCCTTCCTACCCTTCAGCGAAGGCTTGTTCGTCGACCCTGTGGAGTGCAAGAGCGTCATCACATCACTTCTCGCACAGCTACCGACCATGTTCTCTGAAGTCAAGAATCCAGAGCCAGCTTTATTACCTTGCTTAAACTCTGCTGTGGCAGCATTGTCGGCTACAGGCGGAAAGATTGTGTGCTCTTTGGCTGCGCTTCCGACTTGGGGGCCTGGTCGGTTGATGCTACGCGAGGACAACAATGCACACAACACCGATGCTGAGAAGAAGCTTCTCCAGACCGAGCATCCTGGATTCAAGAAGGTCGCTGAGAAGATGGTGCAGAATGGTATTGGTGTGGACTTTTTCCTTGCTGCGCCCAGTGGAGGGTACCTCGACATTGCGACCATCGGTCACGTTTCCGCTGTAACAGGTGGAGAAGTCTTCTACTACCCCAACTTCCATGCGCCAAGGGATATCCTGAAATTATCCAAGGAGATCCAGCACACAGTCACGCGAGAAACCGGATATCAAGCGCTGATGAAGGTTCGCTGCTCAAATGGCCTGCAGGTCTCTGCCTATCACGGAAACTTCTACCACCATACTTTTGGCGCCGATCTAGAGTTCGGAGTCATTGACGCTGACAAGGCTATCGGTGTCATGTTCAGCTACGATGGCAAGCTGGATCCGAAGCTTGATGCTCACTTCCAGAGTGCGCTACTATACACGGCAGCCAACGGTGAGCGACGAGTACGGTGCACGAACATCGTGGCCAGCGTTAGCCCGAACACTGGTGAATGCATGAAGTTTGTCGATCAGGATGCCGTCGTAAACATCATCGCCAAGGAAGCTGCTGCTCGCATGACAGAAAAGAACCTCAAGGAGATTAGAGGAGCCTTGACGGAGAAGACTGTCGACATTCTTGCTGGCTACAGAAAGAACTTCACTGGCAACAATCCTCCCGGACAACTCGTGCTACCAGAGAACCTGAAGGAGTTCGGCATGTACATTCTCGGACTGATCAAGTCAAGAGCCTTCAAGGGCGGCAAAGAGCCCACAGACCGAAGAGTCCACGACATGCGCATGATCAAGTCGATGGGCCCACTGGAGATGTCGCTATACCTCTACCCCCGCATCATCGCAATCCACAACCTCGACGCGCGCGACGGTTTCGCAAACGAAAAGGGCCATCTCGTAATGCCAGAAAACATCCGAGCCTCCTTCTCCAAAGTCGAAGAAGGCGGCGCCTACATCGTCGACAACGGCCAAGTCTGCCTCCTATGGCTGCACACCCAAGTCTCGCCCAACCTCCTCGAAGACCTCTTCGGCGAAGGCAACAACAGTCTCAAAGCGCTCGATCCCTTCCAATCCACCCTCCCCGTCCTCGAAACCCATCTCAACGCCCAAGTCAGGAATATCTTGCAGTATCTGGAGGGTACGAGGGCGTCCAAGGCGCTTACTATTCAGCTTGCGAGACAAGGGCTGGATGGCGCGGAATACGAGTTCGCGAGGTTGTTGTATGAGGATCGAAATAATGAGGCGCAGAGTTATGTGGATTGGCTTGTGCATGTGCATAGGCATATTCAGTTAGAGGTACTTGGCATCTGATGGTGTTGGTTTGAACGCGATTGCTGACTTTGAATAGCTTGCTGGACAGCGCAAGAAAGAGGACTCGGGTGATGGTGTTGGGTCGACTTTCGTAGGCCTGCGAACACCGTACTGGGGGTAGGGTAGTAGAGAACGCAGCGACGTCGATGTATGAAGTCTGTATTGCATAGCGATGGCGGGGTGGATTGGCGACGTATTACTACACTGGAAGACGAGATCCACGTATTGAAATCAACACCCAATATCTCTCCGCCCATCTTCCTATCCCACACACTTTGATGTTCCTCTCTCCGCGACCTTGTCGATGTGCGGACGCCCCGCCGTGACGATGCGACAAGGATCACGCACGTGACCCTCACTAGCGCACCTCGCTTAGCTTTTCCGCTCAACGAGCAAAATCGCCAACGCCGGCCTTCCCTCGAACTTTCGCTCGACAACTAACCCTACAGCATCACGACGCAAAGATGCCTACCCGCCTAACCAAGACCCGCAAGCACCGCGGTCACGTCTCCGCCGTAAGTTATCACCCCGCGAAGCCCTTTTGTATAGTGCTAACTCGGCATCCAGGGTCACGGACGTGTCGGAAAGCACAGGAAGCATCCCGGTGGTCGTGGTATGGCTGGTGGTCAACATCACCACCAGACCAACATTGACAAGTACCATCCTGGTTACTTCGGAAAGGGTAAGTTAAGAATGTACGGAATGCATGTGAGACAGACACTGACTTCGTACGTCTACAGTCGGAATGAGGTACTTCCACAAGATGCAGAACCTCTTCTGGAAGCCCGTCATCAACCTCGACAAGCTCTGGTCGCTCATCCCCGCCGAGAAGCGCGCCGAGTACCTCGCCAACAAGTCCGGCAACGCCCCCGTCCTCAACCTCCTCGACTACGGCTACTCCAAGGTCCTCGGAAAGGGTCGTCTCCCCGCCGTCCCCATCGTCGTCCGCGCCCGCTACGTCTCCGCTGAGGCTGAGAAGAAGATCAAGGAGGCTGGTGGTGTCGTTCAGCTCGTCGCATAAGCGCCAGAACGACACGATACGATACGATCAACCATCACTCACACAACACGATTGTGCATGAAACGGCGTCTCGGAATGATACAAAAGGATACCATAACGGCAATGATTGGGATGGATCTTCAAGTCCGCAGTTACCCTACAAACGGGTCTGCGTTGACTTGCGTCAGCGTGGTGGCTGAGGAATGTTTCATAGACAATATGACCGTTCCTGAACAAACCTTTGGCCTTTGGCTATCCCGTCCATGCTATGCGTGGATGTGGCTCGGCATCGCTGTGCTATCGAATGGCTGCCTCCGTGATGTCGTGATGTTATGGCGCTACGTGCTGTGAGGTGAAAATTCTGTGGTACTAACCTGATCTTGAATCTAGTAAACTCCTCTACTTGGCTGAATGCTTGTCGTCCAAACAACGCATTCTGCGCTTCAAGCGCTGGCGTCGATTCAATTACATCGACTAGAAAGTCCGGCTGCATTGAATATGCGCCTGGAATGATGACCTTTGTCTGCTATGCCATAGTTCAGTCCATCCCAGTAGCCGCTCAAGAACATTCGGGCTTACTCATTAGTTTGTATCAATCAGCAATCAAGATATTCCTCAGTCACGTTTTCGACACCTCACTCTATTCCGTGTCTTGATCCACTCACCTGGAGCACTTGACGCTGCGTATATCCTTCGCAAACCAGAGTTCATCAACCGCTTCGACGCGCACCTACATCACCTCACCATCGTCAACGCGTTGCTGAAACGCCCGGCTATGCTGCCGCTTGACACGCTGGACGTGTGCGTTGAGTACTATATGTATAACAACGTATCCCTCCTCATGCCGCACAAACATCTCCATGCCCATGAACATGGTCAAATGCCCTCAGCAGACCGCACAAATGTGCAACACCAGCACAAACAACCAAGCAATGCATAATCTGGTGACTCGAACCCCAAACATCGAACCGGTACGGATACCATTTCTCCGGTATCTGTATGTGGTCAGTTCCCCATTCCTTTCTTTCCACATAGAATATTTCTTCCGGCTCATCAACGTACCCTCAGAGCATACACCACACCCCCAGTCAGATTGAACACCGCCATCACCACCATCCAATCCAAACTCATCCTCCCCATCTGCGTCTCCACTCCAAACTCCAGTAAACCATGCACAACAGGAACGATGAACGAGAGACCAAGACCCGCATACATCCCCGCGCGGTACGGACGATATTTCCGGTGACGGAAAGCTGGGTGCAGCGTTGCGTAGACACAGGTTGATGCTAAGACTGAGGCGAGAGTGTAGTATATTGTTTGTAGGTGGGGTGTACAGTAGAAACCGTAGTATATGCATGGAATTGTGGAACACCACATTAGGATTACTATGCCGAGCTGAGGTATTCAGTTGGCTGTGTGTGTGTGTGTGGAATGGTGGGGTGAGTTACGTACGTAGTCGAGCTGGTTACCGAAGACGTGGACGCTGGAGCTGTGGTTGGATATGATGTGGAAACTGGTTTGCGTTGTCATTTTACAGGTGTTAGTGAATGAAGGTGTGATGCAAGACTTACGTTGCGGACAGTGCAAAGCAAATGCCGACACCGAGGAAGAAAGTTGAGAAGACGATGGTGTCGGCTGTGGTTGCTGTGGTGTATTTTGGCTGCTGCAGGGAATAGTATACGGGGATGGGGAGAGTGAAGAAGGATATTGAGCCGATGAGATGCGAGAATATGTTTGCTGGAGAGAGTGATCAGTTTGTCTTTTGTAGGTATTGTACTGTGTGATGGCTTACCTGTTTCGTTGTGGAGGCTGAGGATGCTGCGAAAGGACTGCGCATAGGAGTTTGAGACGGCTCTGTATATCTCTTTGTTTAGAAGCCGGTATCATTAAGCGGGTTACAGACAAGACTGTTACCTGTAGCCTGATAGAATATACTCGTTGTCTCTAACCCTCGTAAGCGGCACGTTGACGATGAATCAATATACGGTAGATGTACTGGTACCAACTCGCTACAGTATTATCGATCAGCTGTAGAAAATTGATGTAGATCGACTGATCTTACGTAGTTCATTCCACGTCAGCAAGGAGATTCGTTGCCTTTCTCCTGTCTGATCGCAGGGCGAGGCCTTGCGACTATTATTCAGCTTTGGCAATGCACACATGGGGGAGATGCATAAAGTACCTGGTTTTGAGCAGTTGAACCGACGTGTGATGCAGGGAGTCGAGAACGAAGACTCATTCTGGGAATTGCTATCTTACTGTAAGTAAAAGGTTGAGGGGTGGAAGGTGGAAGTATATGCGGCACAGCTCTTGTGCATGTCGTTTAGTGCAGGGGCCATTTCTTCTTTGACTCAAACTTGACACGGCCCGTAATATTATTTCGACATCACGTAAATATGGAAGATGATCTACGAACCACTTCCTTTATCTCATCTCTCCTCTAGGGTGGTAATCGAGTTTTTTACAGGAGTAGTGATAGACGTAGTACCAACGGCTTGGCTATCGCTCATACAGCCTATGGTATATCGTCCCCACCATTCCCATCGGGAATGTCTCGCAGCAAAGTCTCCTTCTTTTCTTCTTCTGCATCCGTCTCCAACTCCTCAGTGCCAGTTCGCTCATTCTCAACAATCCTGCTTGCACTCCCACCACCATTCCTGTCATCGATCCCAACTTCACCCTCAACTTCCTCCCCTTCTCCCTCTCCCTCCCCCTGCACCACCAAATTCCTAATCCTCAGCACACCCCTCCCGCCACTATGCCCCTCCGGTACCCTATAACTCCTCGGCAGCGTCCGACTACTCGACTGCGAAGTTATCGCACGAATGGGACGGATGAAACGCTCATTGACTTGGCGTTGTGTGCGGAAGTGTCGTTCAAGAGTTTCGTGGGGGGAAACACTGGCCTGGGGTGATGGGGTCGAGAAGCCACCAGGTAGTTCATCTGCTCGTTGGATAGGTGGTCTTTGCGTGTCGATATCGTAGGATGCTGTGCCGCTATGCGATGGCGGCGTAGGCTTGGTAATAAGGTGGTGTTGATCCCGTTCAAGCGCCATCATCAAATCCCGTATCTCCCTTGCTGCATCCTGTTGCAGAGGTAGATCTTCAAGTTGCGTTTGCCGTAACCGATCCGAGAGACTTGAGCCTGAGTGCTCTTGTCTGGGTCCTCTCTGGACCTCCTCTTCAACCTCTTCCCCCCTCTCTCCATCCGAAGACCCTGTCTCCGAAGATGCAGGAACAGGCAAAGGCGTCACCACCCTAACACTCCCCGGCGCCCTCTGAATCATCTGCGAAAGCCCAACCGGCGGACCAATAACACTCTGCGTCCGACTTTGTAGGTTCGGGACAAGAGAAGGTGGATTGGGTTGCGTGCTGTCTTTCCTCCTCTTCGCTTTGGGTTTGGGTATGAGAACGGGGATTTCTGTGGGGTTGTTGATGTATTCGATGTGGTGGGTTCGCGGCGCAGAGGGTTCAGCTAGGCGGAGGGCCATGAGGCGTTCTCGGAGTTTTGCTTCTTCTTCTCTTTTTTGGGTTCGGCCTATCTTGTGGGAGAGGTAGGCTAGGGTGTATTTCTTTGGGGTTGTGGGTATTGCGGGTGTGGTGGGTGTGTTTGTGTTGGTTGGAGTGGGGATGGTAGTTTGGATTGGTGTGACGGTTCCGGGTCGACATGCGAAGGTGCGCAGAAGCCGGTTCATCATGTTCTTATTCCCCGCATTGGTTTCTCCGGCTGCGGTTCTCATGGCGAACTCCTCCTCGTCCTCTTCTTCCGCCATTCTCCTCTCTTCACCACTCAAAGCGTCCAGATACCGCCGCCTAACCTCATCCTCCCATTCTCCGCCCTCACCTCCACCACCCTCATAGCTCTCCCCCACGGACCCAAACACCCTCTCGGGATCATACTGCACAGGCGAAGACACCGTCCGTCTCCTCCCCCTCCCTTCCCCCCTTCTCTTCAAATTTCGCTCACTCTCCGTATGATACCCCTCAAGCGCATGCCAATACTCCCTCATCCCTTCTTCGTCCATACCGTGGTAAGGATGATTAGGCGCATACGTATACCCCCCTTCTACACCATCACCATCATTGCTGTAACCATCATTTCCTTCCTGTCGATGCTCAATCCGGTAACTCAGGCTCGACGCCGTCCCCTCCGCAGAAATCAAATGCCTACTCGCATTAAACGGACTAATAGGCGAAATCGTTCTGTCACACGGATATATCGGGAATCGTCGAGAGTGGGGGGTAGGTGGTGTTACGGCGCGGTAGTATGGGGAGGGGGATTGTGTGGGTCGGGGTGGTGGTGGTGGTGGTGGAGGGGGCTGGGAGAAGGAGGTTGGTGAGGACGGTGCGTCTTCTGGGTAAGGGTTTGATGGTATCGATAGTCCCGGTGAGGAGTTTGGGTGGATGATTAGGTTGGGAGGGGAGGGGAAGGGCGGAGGTGTGGTTCGCGCGGGTTGTCGGGTTAGGGGGAGGAGGAAGTCGTCTTCGGGGTAGGGGTTTGAGGGGAGGGAGATGGAGGATTCGTTTCCTTGGCTGGCGGGATAGGGTGGTTCTTCGTCTTCGTTCTCTTCGTCTTGGGTAGCAGACTGGGATGGTTCTTCGTCTGGCGGTTCTTCGTTCTGCGGTTCTTCGTCTTGCGCTTCTTCGTTCTGCGCTTCTTCGTCTGGCACTCCTTCGTTCTGCGCTTCTTCCTCTTGCCCTTCTTCGTCTGCCACTTCCCCATTCCACTCCCCAGCCCCCAGATCCCTTAGCATACTCTGCAACTCTCTTCCTTTCTTCCTACCAACCTATACACCAGTCAGCATCAATACATCATCCATCCATCCCCATCTCCCTCACCTCCCCAAAAGTCAATACACATACCGTAGCATACCTCCCCCCACCCTCATACATCCTCTTTACCTCATCCAACCCCTTCCTCCTCGCCGCCCCACTATTCAAACTGTGATACGGCTTATACATCTCCCTCTCCCTCCCTCTAACTCCTCCTACTCCAACCTTTTCCCCACCCGATACACTCTCTTCACGTTCTTCCGCAATCCGGTGCTCCGAACGCATCAACCGCTCTTCTTCCCGGTCCATATCTAACTCCCATTGCGCGTCCCACGACGCGTTGGTGATGTCCTCCCTGCTGCTTGAGTCGCGATCTCGGTGGCGGAGGGGTTCCATGCTATCAGACCTTCCATCCTCCCCATCACCATCCCCACCATCTCCATCCCCATCTCCATCATCCCCCTCTCCATCCCCCCACCCCACAGGACTCATATCCCTTAAATCCTCCTCCGACTTATCCACACCGGTGTAATACAGACCCAGCGACGCAGACAGTGCGGTACGGGCATGCTCTCCGCGGCGACCTAGACTATCTCTGCGGCGGAGGGTGTTGGGGATGGAGTTGGTGAACCGGCCTTTAAGGGATGTGACGGTGACGTTTTGGCGGATGGTGGCGATGCGGTCGCGGAAGCGGGAGAGGTAGATGGCGGTGGCGGTTTGGTCGGGGGACATTTTGGGTGGGAGGGTATGGGTGTAGGTGTATGGGGGATGTAGGTGTGGATGTTGGTGTGGAAGGTCTTGAGGAGGAGTTTGGAACAGGTTATGCAGGCATTTCCCTTGGTAATCCTGCGTATGAGTGTCGTGTTGTCGCAGCATGCGAACTGATGGATTTGGCGTCTTTTGGTCTGCCTGAGTTGATGGCTAATGACAGAAGTGTTGCACCCGCGGTGGCCGGACTAGAACCTGAACCGACTCCCAAAATTCCGAGATTGTCACCGTGCGCTGTGGGCACTCATATCCTGGAAGCGAGACACGAGGTACGGACTGCTTGTGGACTGATTAAGTAGGTGGGTTGATGTTGTTGGGCTGTCAAACGTCAGTGGTTTTGACATCCTTACCCGTACATTGGACCCTTATAGCCATATAACCATCAGTCACATAAGGCACAAAAGCAATACGCACCAATCTAAGAGAATATGTTTCATTTAGGGTATCCACGCCATCACTACTACACCTTCTCTCCTACACCCAGCAACCTCAGCAGCACTTCCTTCGCCTTGTCTGGCTCGACACTTCCGTCTGGAGCACGCATCACCATTTGTCCCACGAACCAGCCGACCTTCTTGACCTGACCCTTTTCGGTGATGTCGCGAACCATGTCGGGTTTCTCTTCTAGTAGAGTCTGTGCTAGCTTGATGTACTCTTCCTGGCTGAGGGGTTGCAGGAGGAGGTTCTCTTGGTGGATGACTTCAGATACGCTGCGCTGATCTCCCTCAAACTTGATGGCAAGTAAGCGTTTTGCGGAAGGCGACGTGACCTCTTTGCGACGTATGTGCGAGATGACACCGGCGAGATAGTCGGCCGGGACGCGGGTAGGGTCCCAAGGTTCGTCTTGGAAGAGAGAGCCGAGTTCCATCAACACCCTGGTCACGCGTTAGTTTGATTCCGACGCGTGGCATAGCAGATGAACATACCAGTTCCCGGTGATCTTGCCCAAGGTTTCAAGCGGAACGTCTTTCTCGTGCTGCTCGGTTTGGCGCACCAGGCAGCGAATGACGTCGAGAAAGTACTCCAATCGTTCACCATCGTCCATGGAGAGAAGTGTGATGGCATCCTTGGTAGTAAGTCCGTATGTGTTGGCAAGCATGTCCACGTTCACATCGGGCAGCTTAGGAAGGGTGTTCCGGAGGTGTTCAACAAGATCCTGATAAGATTAGCACAGCTTTCATGCCAAAAGTAGTGCCTGTGCTTACGTTTCCAATGATGACAGGAGCAATGTCTGGGTCCGGCATGTACCGGTAGTCGATCTCTCCCTCTTTGCCTCGAAGACGCTTGGTGGTCTTGCTTCCAAGAGTCCACCCGCGAGTCTCGCCCTCAACGACACCTCCGCCCTCGAGCAAGTCGATTTGCCGATCACGTTCTGCGATGATGGCGTCCTCGACAGCCTTGACGCTTGCCAAGTTCTTGATCTCGGTCCGTTGGCCTAGACCAATAACACCGTGGTATGAGTGACTAGAGTCAGATGACTCCCCTGCGCGTTGACGAACCGAAACATTGACATCGGCACGCAGTCCGCCCAACTCCATGCCAGTTGTACAGGCATTGACAGCCTTGAGTATGTTTTGTATCTTGCGAACGACGACAGCAGCGACCGTGGGGTCGTGGATCTGAGGTAGTGTGATGATTTCGATCAGAGGATGCGAGACGCGATTGAAGTCGAGTAGGTGAGTCGAAGGTGGTTGCTGGACGGTCTTTGCGGTATCCTGCTCCATCTGTATCTGCTTGATGCCAATCTCGACGGGCCCTGGTTGCGGGGCAGCGCCAGGCGGGAAGTCACGAGGGTACAGGATAATCTTGCCGTTCGTCGCGAAGGGCTCGTAGTACTGCGTGATCTGGTAGCCGGAGGGCTGATCTTGATAGAAGTAGTGCTTGCGGTCGAAACTGCTCTTGGGCTGTATCTCGCACTGAAAGGCTATGGCGGCGCGGAGGGCAGGTAGGAGGGTTTCCTTCTGGAAGTGAGGCTGAGTACCGGGAAACGCGACGTCGAATAAGGAGACATGAGTGTTGGGTGCCTCGCTGACTGAGGTCGCAGCACTGGAAAAGAGTTTCCGCGCAGTATTGAGCTCGGCATGGACTTCGATTCCAACCGTTAGCTCCCACTTCTCTAGTCGCACATCTTTGCCCTTTTTTGAAGACTTTGAGGCGCCAGAAGAGACGCTCTTCTCTTTCTTTTGTTGCTTCGCAGCATCTTTCAGCTGCTTTCGGAACGCTGTGCCATCCTGGGTCGGTGGTGGCTGGGTCTCAGTGTGGAGAGATCGTGCTGTGTGACGCGTGGGAAGCTGGACAGCACCCAATTGAGACTGTCTAGCCCGGCGCAGACATGAATGACATATGTAGGGCTGCTTCGAGGCTGCAGCAAGAGTGTTGCGCGTGGTGCGGGCGAACATGACGTGAAGTAGGTATGGCGAGCAGGAGTTCTGGTGCCAATGCACAGTTGCGGGCGGTCTGTGCTCACTTCCGAGCAACCTTGGTCCAGCGACACGCGACGCCAACCACCCAATACTTCAACGCCAGAAAATGGAGCCGACGCCAACGCCAGAACCTCTCGCGTCGCTTGTTCCACTTGAAGACGTTCCGACGTCGGCCGAAAGGTCGTCGAGCTCGACGAGCTTTACCGACATGGTCTCGATGCCACCGCATTCACAAGGACCGTCCGCTTCAGGTCACCTTGTGGAGTAACCTCTGTAGTTTCCTAATTGCCCACTCAACAAGGGCTTGTCTCTTTCTGGGTCGTTTTCGCTTCACCCTCTCGAGGTCAATAAGACGGAGGTTGGCAGCGACTCCGCCTAGGTTCTCCGGCACTGACAGCGTTGGATCCGATTCGCATGAGCTTCCCACCGCGGCATGAGTCTCCGGCGCCGCGCTCGATGTATTTTGGTGCACGGTAGTCGGCGCGTAGACGTGAACATAACAGGTGACGTTCTGATAAAAGGTGTGCTCACCCGCGTTAGGGCGAGGAATGTCGAAACTACCGACGTTTGCCATGCGAGTCGTTTCGATCGGCTCTCCTCCTGCGGACACGAGCCTTCAGTCTTCTGAAACTGTTGCGGCACCTCTGCCACGCTTCTTCGTCTTTTGGTCTGTCGGCGGCGTGTACGAAGTTCCCAGGATGGACATATACCCCCGGCCAGCGAGAGAAGTTTGCCTCTGATCCAACGTTGGAGCCTTGGGAGAATCGCACGCTCCGATAACTCCGACTGCTGCGTACACTGGTCCCCATCCGCGCAGAGAATTGGTATGTCTTGGGCTTGGGCTTGTGGAGGTGTATACAAGTCTTGACCGTACAGCTGACGCCTCAAAACTTGCCTTTGATGATGTTCCCAGCAGTAGTTTTGGCGTTGTTCAAGAACTTCTTTGTCTTCTCCTTCCTCTTCTCCCACTTTTGTACGCTCGCTTGTACCTCCGCTTGTATCTGCTCTTGTTGTTGCTGTATTTCTTCCGGTGTGCGAGTATCGGGTTGTGTGTTCGACTGGGACGAAGTGGAAGGACCGGTCGTGGCTGTCTGGGCTCCAGGGGCGAAGTCAGTGGACGTGTATTCGCGTTCAGTCGAGTTGTCTTTCGTGTCGGCACAATCTTTCCCTGAATCAGCACCACCGTCACCTCCAGTATCGCCTCGCGAGTCGGCTCCGCAATAGCCGGATGTCGTTCCGCAATCGCCTGAGGATGTCGTTCCACAGTCTGCGGAGACGAACGAAGAGTCCATTCAATGCCTTGATGTGTGTTTGGCGTCGCTCAAAGATGGAGCTTGAGTGTAAGAAGCGTGGCGGTCAGACGGATCTTCTCCTTCAGCTTAGCCGCCTCGTGGCGCTTCGCTTTGACTGCAGTAGCGGTCTCGGCTCGGACTGCCCTTCGTTGTCGCTTCTTCTCTTTGCGTTCCGCTTTCTCACGCTTCCACTCTTCTTCTTTTTCTCTGAGTCTGCGGTCCGCTGCCGCTTGCTCCTCGGCTGTCAATGGTCGGCTGGAAGAGGAGGAGCCTTGTGGGATGTAATCGGTTCCCGAATCCCCACCTGAGTAGCTGCCGCCGTCACCTCCGTCACCCGCGGTATGGGATATGCTGCAACCGCCGGAGTCGCCGCCGCCACAGTCACCGGAGCTATAGCTTGCGCTACCACAATCACCGCCGTCTGCCATATACTGATCTCAAGTTCCGAGATGAAGCTTGAGCCTGAGCGCGTTTATATAAAGCCAAACTTTGGCTTTATACGCGCCTGGGACGTTGGCCTCGATGTCTGCTTTGGCCTTGGCTCGAACCGCCCTCCGCTGTCGCCTCTTTAGCGCACGCTTTCTCTTTCTTTCCAGCTGGTTCGCTCTCTCCCTGGCGGTGAGATTGCTACCGGAATAGCCAGATACGAAAACTGGTGTGCTCGATGCGCAATGTGTACTAGTTCCACAATCTCCGTGTGACATGTAAGGTGGGATATAGTAGTCCAAACAACAAGCTGATCTCAAGTCTAGAGATGAAACCTGAGTTTGAGCAAGGTGATATACAGCCGAAGCTTAGCCTTCTTGCTCGTCGTATCCGGGAGCTTGGCCTTGGTGTCTGCTTTAGCCTCGTCTCGAACCTCCTTCCGTTGTTGCTTCTTCTCTGCGCGCTCCTCTTTCTTCTTCTTCAGTTCCTCTATCTCCCCTGCGGTGATATGGCGACTTGGTGTGCTTGCAGACGAGACAACACCAGGTGTGCTCGCGATCGCTGGCGCTGATGGTGCGCACGCTGTACTTACTCCACAACCTCTAGATGTGGCTGCACAGGTCATGAAACGTGGGCTGTAGTCTTCTACCAAAGACGGAAGATACCAAAGAAGTCGGCTATCTTAGCACGAAGTCCCTTCTTCAACGTACGGTTCGCTAATCTCTCCGCTCTAGCTTCTCGGCGTCTGAGTTTGCGTAGTCGTCGCTCTTCGATGATCCTTCTCCTCTCGCGTGGTTCGAGTGGATTGGTGGCTCTCGGTCGGTGGTTCGAAAGTGTTCGGCCTTGTCCTTGGACGGGGGCTTGGAGTACACCGGAGGCTACAGAGCTTGTTACACAAGTAGCAGTCGTGCTCATAAACACACTCAAGTGTTCGAGTGTGGATGTCGAAGTGCTCAGAAGTTTCCGGTGAAGATCCTCTTCAGCTTGAGATGTATCCTGTCGAGCTTACTTGGCGTATTTATTCTTCCGTTACGGACCCAAGTCTTCCGCTGTGCTTTGCGGGATTGCGTCTTCTCGAACTTGCGGAGGCGTTGGCGGGCTACGTGTAGTCTCTCGGTGGAGGTGAGAGGCCTGCCGGTGAAGTGAGTTGTTCGGGGGTCGTGACCCTGGTCGAAGATGGTGCGGCGTTTGTGGGTGATCCTTGGGCAGTATGTGCGCGTGTGGCGTTTGGGTCGGGTTGGGTTGGCACGTCGGGTGTCAAAGGGCATGTACTCAGTAGGTGTGGTGCTGCATGGACTGTGGGTCTCGTTGAAGGCGCTGGTGAGGGTGATGTAGGTTGCGAAGGACTGGAGGTCGAGCGTGGTAGGGGAGGTGTGCAGGGACTGCACGGGATGCAGCTATGCTGATGCTGAGCTGCGAGACAGCTTGGTTGAGGAGGTGAGTGTGATGCTGATTAAGCGTACGGTGAGTTGATGATAGGGATGTGCTATACAATAACGGTGTGGCAGCAAACGATGCTTCGGTGTGGATGGGTAGTCATGCAGTGAGGTGTGTTGGGGTGAGAGTATGATGGAGGAAGTTTGTTTGGGTCTCGCGACAGATAAAGAAGCTGGCATCTGTCGTGACTACCTTGAACATGAGGGTCTGTGGGTGCTATGGAAGGCATCAGTCGCACAAAACAGGACGGAGCCATCACTGCTCGCTGTGCATTGGGGAATGGGCATTCCAACCGCAATTAACGTGCAACAACACTGGTGCTCACTCGTTCTTTGTCAAAGCAGCGAAAGCATATCGAAGGGGTTCTTATGTACCTATACATCATAATGTATGAGTTCAGTCAAAGACATACTGTCCGACCAAACAAACCAGATCCTAGCCGTGTACTGCATGAACCTCCACCATACCGTCCCCATGCCGTGAAAACTCGCAAAACCGCAATCAAGGAAACACAAACTTCCTATCTCCCATCATCCCCCAAAGTTCCTGGATAACAGCACGCTGATCCTCGCGCTTCGCATTGCGCACAGCAAAGTAAAGACGACCCTCTAGATCCGGATCCCAACCACCCGGGTTGGCGCTAACGACAACACCACCAGCTTCTTCCAGGATGCACCATCCAGCAGCGACGTCCCAGGAGTACACACCTCCTTCCCAGAAGGCATCGAGCATGCCGTGTGCGACGTAGCAGAAATCCAGTGCTGCGGAGCCATTTGAGCGTACGGACTTGCACATTGCGCCGCCCTCGACCTTGGAGGTAAGGAGAGCGTTGTGAATCGAGGTGCGCAGTGCCCAGTTGGGACCAGAGCGCTGGTTGCCCCATTCCACAGCAATGAGACAGGAATTGAGCGAAGGCATTGGCTTGGGGATGGGCTGGATAGGCAGCTTGATCTTGCGGCCGGTGAAGGTCTTCGTCAGGTAGGCGCCTTGACCCTTGACAGCATGGTACATATCACCGCGGAAAGGGTTGAATACGACTCCAACGACAGGCTTCTTGTCGATAGTCAGGGCCAGAGAGATAGCGCAGTTGGGTACACCAAGCGAGAAGTTCAGTGTGCCATCGATTGGATCTACGATGAATGTCGGCGTGTCCGCAAGTTTTGTGCCATGCTTGAACGTCTCCTCGCCGAGGAATGTGCAATCGGGGAAGGCTTCCGTAAGGCGTCGTTCGGCCATGGCTTCGATTTGCTTGTCGAATTTGGTGACTACATCGGATGTGTTGTTCTTGTGGACGGTCGTGATGATACAATCCTCGGCTGCGACCATTATCTTTCCTGCATCCGTCGCAATGTCAACGAGTAGACTATGGACTTCGTTGAGACGCTTAGTGTACTTGGCAAGGACGCCATCGAAGTCGAAGGCAGATGATGAGTCTGACGCAGGACTGGCCGGTACAATTGGTGTTGTTGACTCAATGGACGATGTGGGGCTGGACGACTCGGATGAGTCTGTTTGTTGAGATGCCATTTTGGTAGAATTGGTAGGGTTACTAAAAGAACGACTTGAGGAGTTCGTGGGTAGTGAGAAGGAGTGAGACTGGAAGTTGCCGTTGGGTCTGGAAGAGCTGGAGAGCTTTCGTTTTATGGGCTTTCCGACTTGGGCTGGATTTCGCAGTGCTGTTGAATGAACGTTTGCCCTGTACGGTGAGTGTGCTTCTAGACGTTGTGTGTAACTACACAGTCCGAAGCCCCGGTAAGTCGGTGTGAAAGTAGTCCACAGCTTGAAATTATTCGAGATTGTTGCCAGGTGAGGCGGCCTCACAGGTGGCATGATATCGTTTTGTTGAACGATACAACGGCTGTTGGTGACCAGGTACTAGACGTCGTAAGCCGGGGCCAATTGCGGAGTCTTCTTATCTAGACACCTCAGCCAATCCATTGCGGCAGGCAACTGGAGGCAACAACTTCGGCATCGAAGACTAACTATGATGAGTAGTAGGCAAAAGGTATATGCCTTCTATTATTTTCCCGGGTACGTCCGAGCTGAGAGGAGTCGAATATTACACTAGGTAAAGGGCTGGGAGTCGATCATGAGCACATCCGAGGCATGTGTCAACGGCTCCGTTCCGTTGCTCCTCAAAGCCTAGGGAAGCCCTAGGGCTTTCATACTCACGTTGTTGCGGCAATTCAGAAACAAATTGTCCTCTTCAGGTTCGTGCGCTGTGTCAGAGAAAATAGTGTCTGCGCTATCGGACTGATGAAGCTGAGGCAAGAGTGCAGGCGAAGAGGAAAGCTCTATGCTGGCGCACGGACCATGACGGGAGCTCACATGCTGCACCACGATGCTTCCGGCTACACATGCACCCAACATCTTCCCAAGTTACCAATGTGCCGGTCACCCATAAGATTAAGAGCTAGTATTGAGGAGGTCGAGAACTCCTGCATTGGACTTCGGTGAAAAAGGACAGTAAATTCTCAATCAATCGCCTCGCCGAACGACGTCATACATCACCCAACACCTAGGCATACACCTCCAAAACTTCGTCATTCAAAACAACAAAAATTTAAAGATGCCACAACCAAAGTCCCTCCCAAAAGACCGCTACACCCGCCAACGCCTCGCCCGCGCCACCCGTCGGCACCTCGCCTCCCTAACCCCCTCGACCTCGCACCCCCAACAGCAATCCCTCTTCTTCACCCTGCTCCCAGCAGAAATTCGATTCACAATCTACCAACACGTCCTCTCCCAACAGCACGACCCCACCCGTCCCATCGACATCCACTCCATCTCGCCCCTCTACCGCCCCCTCCACACCTATCTCACCAAGATCGACACATCCTTATTACTCACATGCCGCCTCATCTACATCGAAGCACACCAAATCCCGCTCCGCAGCTCCACCCACCACTTCCGCTACCTAGGCTCCACATCCTGGCTCTACAACGGCGACATCTGGCTGCACCACACCACCTCCCAGCGCGGCGCCCAACTCTACCACCTCCACGACAACCTCGTCGCCCTGAAACCCTCAAACTTTACTAAATTCCTACTCAGCCATCTGCACTGGCGCAGGATAACCTGGACGATATGCGCCTATCTCCTCCCTCCCCTGCTCGCCGAACTGAAAGAACGCCAGCGCCTCGTCTCGACACTAGCATCGCTCACCCTCCCGTCTTCATGCCAAGAAGTTACTCTAGAATTCGAGACTCGAGAAGATTTGTTGCCGGATTGGCCGGGGTTGGAGAGCCAGATTGAGGCTTGTAGAGTGTTGGGACTGAAGAAGAGGGATGGGAGTGTGTTGGAGAGGGATGATGACAGTGCGGTTGTGTATACGTGGAGGGGCAGTGGGCATGCGAGGTGGGGGACGAGTGAGGATGGGGTGTGGAAGGAGAAGATGAGGTATTGTACTACGAGGCTTTGTTGGAGGGCGAGGGTGCCGAGGAGGGAGTATGCGAGTTATGATTTTTTGGATTGTTTGAATGTGGAGGGGGATGGGGAGGGGGTTGTGGAGAGTGTGAGGAGGTTGGGTGGGTAGTGGGATTTAGGGGGAGGTGAGGTGTGTGTGTGGTGAGGAGATGGGGTTCACGGCGGTGTTCACATTTGCGTCATGTTATGGACTGTCAAAGTCTGGCTCGATTGATCCTCTTCCGCCAAGCGTTTGTTCCTTGAAACTAGACACATCGAGGACCCTTTGGCCCTTGATCCCCACTACGTTGCCAACTGCACAAGTACGCTCATCGCGCAGATGTGCGTCGTACTTCGTGGCATCCCCCATCCATCGCATTCGTCATATTCGACACTGCTGAGAATCCATTTAACGCTTGAACATAAACCAAAAGACAAAAACCAAACAAACAAACATGAAAGTGCGAAGTAGAAGTGACTCCACTAACCTTGGGAGTGTTAAAGTACACGTGGGTACGTAGTTGTACATGCCTGAGCATTCCGCGTGCTGTGATTTTGATATCGTCTGCCTCCACACAAGGGCTGCTCAACCCAGGACTCTCGGACCGTTCGACTTGCCCTTCTTCTGAACACCACGTGGTATGAACATGGCGGGAGATGCGACTACCGCGGGCGTGCTGTTGTTGCCATTTCCAGACTTGTCCTTGTTGTTCTTGTTGTTCCTGTTCTTCCCCTGCTTGTGTTTGTCGTCCTTCTTCACGACGGCCTTGACCTCAGATGTGGCTCGCTTGATGAGGACTGGGTGGCTGCCAATGTACTTGCCATTCATCTCCTTGGCGGCACGGAAGTAGTCGTCGGTGTCTGAGAAGCTCACGAAACCGTAACTTCTGCTCTTGGTGGACTTCTTGTCTCGTACGACGCGGGCTTTGGACAGAGAGGGGTACTTGGCGAAAGCTTTGAGGAGTGAATCGTCGGTGACTTCACCCGCCAGGTTACCGATGAAGAGTCGCGGGTGCAAGGGGTTCCACTCGAGTAGTGTCTCGTCCTCCCACTGTTTTCCACCTCCCTCGCGAACAACAGTCTTGCGCTTGCCGTCGGCTGCTGGTCCTGCTTCAGTATCCTGGGTGGTTGCCGCTTCCGGTCGAGCGGTCATGTTCGCACCGGTGCCCTTCTTCGCGTTCGCGTCGCCAGCATTGTATGCGCTGTTCCACTCGGCGATGCGGGCTTCTTCTTCGGGATCATAGGTGCCACCAAACCCGCGGTTCACGGTCGGAGCAGCTGGGTATGAGGCCGCAGCAGGTGCGCCCGTCGCGTAGGCTGGGTACGAGTAGTTGTTGTAAGCATTGCTGGTCGGGTATGCGGGTGCTTGGTAGGGGGCGCTCACTGGGGCTTGCGCGTAGTTTGCCGGCGCAGCAGACGTTGGTGTGAAGCCAGCAAACATGGGCGAGTTGCCCTGGCCTCGTGCGCCAGCGTTGTTGGTCCTTGAGGGCGGTGCCGAGTATGTCGTGGGCGGCGGGCGCGCTGGCAGGGAGTGATGGGGCTGCATGTTGGAGTAGGAGCTGCGGGTCAGTTCAGCTTAACCTTAGCGAGGTGATGACTTAACCAGCTACTGGTCGAGACGCGCTCTGATGTTGCGGAGTGGGTAGACTGGTGATAGGACGGCCGGATGGCTAAGGATGCGTAGTAATCTACGGTTCGCAGATTTTGAGGGTGCGCGCGGGTGTGGTTGCACCGATGAGGTGAGGCGCAGTTTCTGTATGGCTGGGGAAAATGCCTCTCAATGAAGCGCGTCCGTGTGAGTGAATAACCGCCCGGGCAGTGCCGTGCGCGTGAATGTCTGGAGCTGATGCTGACTACACGTCGAAGATGGCAGAAGGCAACAAGACTTTCCCGAAGTGTCTAGCAAGCGAGGCTGCAGGTGGGCGAGGACTAGGTCGGCGTTTGAAGAGGGCAGAGTGGGATGGCGGGCCGGTGCAAATTACAATTACCGTGGGGATGCGTCAGGCAGATGGGGGCGTCGACGTCCGTTGTTGGTTTCTGTCGCAGAAAGTGAGCCAAGCGGCTCCTCCGGCCCCGAAATCACGTGTTGCCGGCATATCGGCAGCCGCTGCACACCACGCTGCACCGCAAGGCTCAACCTTGAACAGCCTGGAAGAAGGTGCAGCGCGATGCACAGGCGTCACCGGTGATGAGTTTTCTCTCATCGCGTCAGCCCTCACAGTCCATCCAGGTAGCCTTGGAAACATTGCAAGACTTCTCCGGCGACCTGTCCTAGCGTATCCGGTGATCCCTGCACGCTGCCCCTCCATCCGTACTGCGTAATGCTGTGTTAAGGCTGAGACGGAGGGGCTTCACAAGCAGCCGCATTTGACCGCGACGCCGTTGGGACTGTTGCTTGCCAGCTTGCGTCGCTAGTTTGCTGGGATAAAATCGACATCAATAGTGAATGTACACCGAGTCGTGATAGCCATAGCATCTGCAAACACATGCGCAACCCACCCGTGTCTAGCCCGCTCATTAGACGGCGGCTTTCTAATCATGCGCTGTGATGTTCAGCAATCATGTCGGCAGCGGTGCAAACGTTTTACAAGACGGAATTGGCAACAGTGGCTTGTATGACATACCTTACCGCCGCGGCCGAAGCTATTCTCCGTCAACAGCGTGATGCTGGGATATGGTGGTGGGACGTGCCATTGATGCAATAGTAGTGTGCCCCGCTTGTTCCAAAGACTTTCCGCGTACATATCTTGACGACCCCCACCAGACTTCTTCTTCCTTCTCTTGACCATCTCCCGCTTTATAAGCCTCAATTGCCCTCGTATTGCACGCCCGGTCGCTGCAATTCTACCCCGCCATCACTTTCTCATCCACCCACCTACACCCACACGAGAACGCAATCATGTCTTCTGAGCCCGTCGGAGATTTCGGCCTCATCGGCCTGGCCGTAAGTACTCCATGCTCCGATCGCGTTCACGGCGAGTGCAGCAGAAAGTGCGCGTCGTCGTACTTTCCTGCCAGCCATTGAGTCCAGAGCGCGAATTATCCGGGGACATTCACGTCCAACGCATCAAGGCCAGCCATGCTGACCATACATATAGGTCATGGGCCAGAACTTGATCCTCAACGCGTAAGTCACTACCAACGTCATAACCCACCAAACCAGTACTAACATCAAGCAGTGCTGACCACGGCTTCACCGTTGTTGCTTTCAACCGAACGTAAGCGCCTCGATACACCGCGCCTCCAATATACACTGACAGGCAGATAGCGTTGCCAAGGTCGACCGTTTCTTGAACGATGAGGCCAAGGGCAAGTCCATTGTCGGCGCCCACTCCATCAAGGAGTTCGTCTCCAAGCTCAAGAAGCCCCGCCGCATGATGATGCTCGTCATGGCTGGTAAGCCCGTTGACGACTTCATCGAGCTCCTCCTCGAGGGAGGTGCCGAGGAGGGCGACATCATCATCGACGGTGGTAACTCCCACTACCCCGACACCAACCGCCGCACAAACTACCTCAAGTCCAAGGGTATCCGATTCGTCGGAACTGGTGTCTCTGGAGGAGAGGAGGGTGCCCGCTACGGTCCTTCCATCATGCCCGGTGGTAACGAGGAGGCCTGGCCATACATCAAGGTAGGAATGCGCGAAGAGATGAACAGGACAAAGCTAACAATAACCAGGATGTCCTCCAGTCCATCTCCGCAAAGTCCGACGGCGAGGCCTGCTGCCAATGGGTTGGTGACGAGGGTGCCGGTCACTACGTCAAGATGGTCCACAACGGTATTGAGTACGGTGACATGCAGTTGATCTGCGAGGTGAGACGAGACGATCATACAGAAAGAAAGAGGCGACTGACAGAAACAGGCCTACGACATCATGAAGCGCGGTCTCGGCATGAGCAACAAGGAGATTGGCGACGTTTTCACACAATGGAACAAGGGCGTTCTCGACTCATTCCTGATCGAGATTACCCGTGACATCATGTACAAGAACGACGACGATGGTGTTGCCATCGTTGAGAAGATCATGGACTCTGCTGGTCAGAAGGGTACCGGAAAGTGGACCGCCATCAACGCGCTCGACCTCGGTATGCCCGTTACCCTGATCGGAGAGGCCGTCTTCGCCCGTTGCCTGAGTTCGCTCAAGCAGGAGCGTGGCCGTGCCGCCGGTCTTTTGGACGGCCCCACCCCCAGCTTCTCTGGCGACCGCCAGGCCTTCATCGACAACCTCGAGCAGGCTCTTTACGCGTCCAAGATCATCTCGTACGCCCAGGGATTCATGCTGATCCAGAACGCCGCCAAGGAGTACAAGTGGAAGCTGAACAAGCCCGAGATTGCCCTCATGTGGCGCGGTGGATGCATCATCCGTTCCGTCTTCTTGAAGGAGATCACCAAGGCTTACCGCCAGAACCCCGAGCTCGAGAACTTGCTGTTCGACGACTTCTTCAGCAAGGCTATCCACAAGGCCCAGTCCGGATGGAGAGACACTGTTTCCAAGGGTGCTCTCTGGGGTATCCCCACCCCTGCTTTCAGCACCGCCCTCAGCTTCTACGACGGATACCGCGCCAAGGACCTGCCCGCCAACCTGTTGCAGGCGCAGCGTGACTACTTCGGTGCCCACACCTTCAGGATCAAGCCCGAGTTCGCCAACGAGACCTACAAGGAGGGCCAGGACATCCACGTCAACTGGACCGGAAGGGGTGGTAACATCTCTGCTTCTGTAAGTTTCTCGCCCATTGTTCATTTAGAAGACACTAACAGCTTGCCAGACCTACAACGCTTAAAAAGGGGATATCCATTGCTTGCTAGACGGGAGCAGAGGGCTGCCCCGAGTTCATGTTTTATGACGAACGTGAAAACTGAGATACCTCGAATCTAGAATGAATATAACGATTCGCATGTCCAATGTTTGCATGTGCTGGTGAATGTTTGAAGCTCAGCTTGACCGCTGTGTTGTTACTCGTACGCTAGCTGCAGTTAGCGTTGATCGTCGCGTACCTCCAGGTAGACCCTTGACGAGCCACCCCACTATGAATTGAACATTGTTACGAGGTCGCACGCGCATCGGCTTCCCAGCAATCAGGATACACTCGGGACGGAAGCGTCTCCAAGGCCTACACTATATACCTTCTATAATTGGCCCAGCGGCAAGCGCCCTGCGTAAAGGCTTGGCATCGCGACCACGGAAAGTTGCAGCGCATCACGACAACACCAACCCACCCGCCTCGAGCTCCGCCAGCTCCGCCACGCCAGCGCTGCCCCACGACCCGGTTGCGCGTGCGTCGTCGCGTTTTCATTTCTTTCATTCCTTTGGATTGTATATTCACTGCTTGTATGAGTCTCTGGCGTTAGGTCCTCCGTCGTAGAATCTGGGCAGGGACTAGGTGCTGACGAGACCCAATTGTAGCGGAGCAACACGTTAGCCTCCGCCGCCCGTAATACCCAAGTCGCCTAGACAAAGGCACACAAGAGCAGGACCGTCATGGCGGACAACAAGCGCAATAGCGTTGCGGGCAAGGTTGCGACTCCGAACCTAAAAGCCGGCCCTGGATCGAACAAAGATGTCATTGGCGCGGACTCCGATCTGTACAAGGCTGTTGGGTCACGGTACGTTCCGCTCGTCGAAATGGTATCACGGCTGGGGTGGTAGCTGACAGTTCCCAGCATCAAAGTCACATGTGCCCCTGGCAAGAACGTCCTCGAGGGCACCCTCTTCACGGCCTGCAACCTCACCCATGCCATAGCCATCAACACCGCGCCCGCTCCACCGAACCCCTCCCCCGCCTCCTTATTCAGCCAGCCCGGCGACTACCACATCATCCCATTCGCACACATTGAGTCCTTCGAGATCATCGGCACAGGAGAGCGGGCACCTGAATCCGCAGCAGGGTTCGATGGCGCACTCCCCAGCATCTCCAAGGTGGATCTGGCCGCGCTACAAGCCCGCGAAGACCAAACCATCCGCGAGATGAAGAAGAAGGATATGCAGAAGGGCAAGGGTGTTAGTGCCGAAGCACAGGAGTTGTTCGATGCTATATCGAGGACGTGAGTCATATCAGATCTGGCAGAGACAGCATATCAGGGCTAACATACGAACCACAGTCTACCAACTCGGTGGGCAGATACGCAGATTGTCGTCAACGACTCCGTCCTTATTCAGGCCCCGTACACGCTCGACAGCATCAAAGCACCCGCCGACAAGCACCAGGCTAAGGCTCACGTTCGCAAGGTCGTCGAAGCCTTCTACCAGCGTAAGAAGGGCGCTTCTGCGGGTGGGGCGGCTCGCGCTCCGGTCGCTGTGCCCAATGCCCCTCGGAAGGGAGGTTAGAACTCGGCCAGCCCAGGGCTTTGGCGACGGACAACTTGATGTAAACCTTGACCCGCAGAGCCCCATGTCGCTGGCTGGAGGGTTTCAACTTGTTGGTAGTGGGGGGTATGAAACATGAAAGAGATGTGTAATGATGGTAGCAGTCATGCATCTTATGAGAGGGTGCTGAATGGTAGATGTGCTATACAGTATGCCACAACAGGCATTTCAGAAATTCACAAAATGTTCAAAAGCCACGGCTTTTTGCGCCGTGTGATGTAGGTGCGATAACTTAGCTTCACGTCTACGACAGGATCCCGACGGTCGCCCGAGCACGGGAATCCAGGATAATGGTGAGTACAGAAGTTTGCAGATAATGGAACCACACGTCAAACAGCAGGCTGCAGCTGAAAGCCTCTTTCTCATGCTGTTGGCAATTGGGATGCTCTTGTACCTCATCGCTAGGTTATAACACCAGCTTTATTCCGACGCACCTGTTCAACTCGCATGTTTCACAACGAGCAAGATGGATCCCTTGAGCATCGCAACGAATGTGGTAAGTTTAGCAAAACCGGGGCCTATTTGAAGCTGTCAAGCTAACCATACTTTTAGCTCCGAATCATTACGACTTTCCTCGGAGCTGCCAAAGGCCTGAACGACATACGGAACAAATGGAAGCACGCGCCCGTTACCGCGCGATTCCTCTGTTCCCAGCTCAAACTCAATGGGACCTTACTATCGCGGCTGCAGGCACTACTTCTGGACGAAACGAATGCTGTGCACGCGGACCCAGACTTGGTCGATACGCTCGATACGACTCTGATAGGCTCTCTCGTGCTGGGGGTATGCCTCGGGAAGTACGTGTCGAAGATCATGAAGGGCGTCCATGGCGATGGTAGCATGAGCTCGAAAGCCAAATTCAGGACTCTGTGGAATGAGGATGAAGTCAAGGACTTTTTGGAACGACTGCATCAACAGTATTCTGCGATCAACATGTTGATCGGCCCGCTGAACAGGTGAGTGAAGACAAAGTCTCCATATAGCGTACAGCTACAGCCATGAATGGCGGACTGACTTTAGCAGGGATTCTTCGACTGAGAGAAAGAAACCCCTTCAGGAAAAAGAACAAAGCAAGACGATGACAACAATGAACGAACACACCCAAAATATGCGAAAGGCTTATGCCCTCACAGTGGCGGAGTCCACATTCAAAACCGAAGATTCCCCTAGTAGTCACTTGAGCAATCTCTCCACCCTTGTCGATCCTACTGACGGCTCTTCCGAACAACACTTCGAATCTGTCCTCTCGAACTCCAGAGTATACAAAAAAGCTTCCAACGCAGCTATGAGACAGCGGCCGAATACCGATTTCGACAATGCAAGCATGAGGACTAATCATTCTACAACCGCAACGATTGGCAACCCGGACTTCATTAACGATCCCTCAAACACGGAAGAAGACTCAGCTACTACAAGGCCTATAATCGTTCATATCTGTGATCCTGTTCATAGGGCGAGCAGAAATCTCAACGTTGCAGGCGTAACGGGTATTTGTACCGAAAGCTATCCTACCCAAGAGCCCGGGAAGTTGAGTTACAAGCCACACGATCGGATACAGAATTTACGGAAGGTAGATGCGGCGTGGTGGTACGGCACTACTGAACCTCCAGAAAATGTGCCTGAAAACCGTGGGATAATTCTTCGTCGAGACTTCTACCCTATCTACAGACTTAACGAATGGAAACATGCATACACCGGTAGGAGCATGGGCACCGAAGCCGTTGGCGACTGTTGGTTGCGCTATGAAGAGGGAGATCGAGTGGAATTCAATGTAAGTACATGAAACCCTGTACCCATCACTTTGAGCTAACAAAGCAGCGAATATACCATAACTTCATATGGGTCGTCAGAGTATGTAGGAATTCGGACCATCACGCTGGGTCAAACGACATAGACTCACGGTGTCATAACGCGTCAACAGAGGGACAAATGCTAGTTGATACCATTGTGCTGAGTGACGAGATCCGCGAACAGATCGATGTGCTTTTAGCACATTGTGCTTGTCCTCTTACGCGTCTCGTTGGCTTAGAAGGACGTGAACGGTCGAAAGAGATTATAAAGATGGTGAACGAGAATGGCTGGCCCGAAACCGAGCAGAAAATTATAGCGGATTGCAAGAGCTTTAGGGAACTACAAGAAGCGGCAGAGTTATATAGGATGTGTGGATAATAGGGCTGGGACCTACAATGAGTCACGCGTGTGTGGATAGATATGGCAGAAAGGTAGATAATAAATACGTGGCAGGATACGGGTTTAATTCGCAGGGTAAAAAGTACGCGAAGCCCACCACGCTGCCTTGTGCTAATATACAAAACGCCTCAACACATGCTGTAGTCCCCAAACCCCCCTCCCCCCAACCTCACCGCTCTCAACCCCTCCACTCAAGCGCATCCTTCTCCAACACCGCATGCCTCATCCGAAGCAAGTCCACCCGGCTGGTGTACGTCAGGCGCCCCTCTGCCTTCCACCTCGTGTTGTACGGGATCTGGTACGTATCCAGGACATCGACAAACGCACCAGCCCTGGGCTCATACGCCCCCGCCGTCTGGTCCACCTCCAGATTCATCTCCTTGGGCCCCATGCCCCATCCGTAAGAGACATCGTTCTTCCCGCGGAAATTGGCTCCAACGACGTACGTGCTGCGCGCACGAAGCGACTCCATCTTGTTGGTGAGGCCGTTGCCTCCGGCGGTTGTGATGGGCATGCCGATCATGCAGTCGTCCATCTTCTTGACGATGATGAACGGATAGACCTTGATGACGATCTGGCCGTACTGCGACGGGACGAACCAGTCGCGCGAGGTGGCTGCCATGCGGGGGAGTGGCGCCCATCCGATGTCGCCTACGCTGATGGCGGCGATGGCGGTGGCGTCGAGGCGCCATGGGTGCTCGGGCCCGTGTGGTGGTGGTGGTGGTGAAGGCGAATCTTTGTCGACCTCCATCTCGTCCTCCTTCACCTCTCCCTCCTCCATCTCCTCTCCTCCCTCTTCTCCCTTCTCCTCGTCCTCCAACCCCAAAACCTCACCATCCCATCTCTCCAAAAACGCTTCAAATCGCTGCACGCAAAGCAACAACTCACCGGAAATCGTCTCCTCGTCGGCCGTAGCCTCTTCTCCTTGTAGTGCCCGAAGGCGGTTCTGATGTGCCTCTATGGCGAGGACTTCCATGGCGATGTCGCGCCCGAGGTTGATGGTGGTGAGGGAAGGCATGGCGGGCCATGCCGGCGACGTTGCCGTGAAGGCGAGGAGTGTGGTGGTGGTGTGGGTCGTCATGGTGACTATGTGGTTAGTTACGGGAAGGGAGAGGAGGGGTTGGGGGTGATGTAGGATGTAGAGGCATTGTTGCGGAGTGGGAAGGGAGATACTGGGGGTAGTTTAGGCGGTAGGGAGAGCTATGAGAGACGGGAATTGAGGTGCTGAAGTGCCTGTAGAAGGGAACGGCGTTGATGCGGAGTGGGAAGTGCCATGCTGGGGATAACGTAGGCAGTAGGAAGTGAGCTGCAGCAACGTATGAAGCTGCCGAAACCTATGTAGCTCGCAAAGCCATTGATTCCGTAACAAAAAGAGAGGATACTTACGAGTGTAGTCAGTGTGTGTTGCTGAAGAATCTCAAAAATCGGCGGCATCAAAACTTTTGTTATGGGCGTCCTGGGTGCAAACGCTCGCTGCTGTCTTGGCGGTGAAAAGTGCGGCTCACTGCTCACGTTCACCGCGAGTTCGGCAGAGAGCGAGGAGCGAGAAGCTGGATGTGAGAGCGGAAGTGAGCGTGACGGCAATATCGGAGTTGGAATTCGTATGGGATATGCAAGGAATGAGGTTGACGGCTATGTGGGAGATGGGATTTGTACGTAGTGAGGGCAGTGCGTGATGTAGGCGTATTATGGCATTAAGATGCGATGGATACTAGTGGCATGACATTAATTTAGGCATAGTATGGCATTAAAAAGTTGGAGATATCTGCTACAGAACTTGATGTCGTATGCATGACTCTCTGGTTCTGTACACTACAGCAGCATACAGAAGAACGAAGTCTCCGTCTGCACAAGCTTTTCAAACCGCAGATATATACTGCCCTTTCACTTTCACCGCCCTTTTCCGCTTGACCTAGCAGCGAACTCAGCATACTGGACAGGATTGTAATGTCCGAATGGGAATGTCTGAAGATGGAGAGATGGCCACTGTTGTCACTATGTCTGTAACCGATGTCGAGCCAAACTACATATATAATAGCCTCTCATCTCACGGTTATGATTCAGACAAACGCTCACTTCCACTCAACCCCCCAAGTAACCTCCCCCTTCCTAAACGGCACGACCTCACACTCGCCCCCACCCTCCTTCCTCAACACATCCACCACCGTCTCCTTCCCCTTCCTCAGTACAATCCTCTCCGTCCTCTCATCCACAATCTGATAAAAACCCCTCCCCCACCCCCCAAAGAACCCCTCCAGCACCTCCTTCGTCACCTCCTCCTCCCCAATAACCCCCCTCTTCACCCCCACCTCCAACGCATCAAGCACATACCCCACCGCATACGGCTGCGTAAAAACCCCCGCAGCAACCTTATCCTCCCCCCTCTTCTTCCCCCTCGGATGCGGCGCCGAGTCCGTCCCCAGAAAAAACTTCCCATTCCCCTGCACCACCGCGCGGAGCAACGCATCCCTATCCTCGGGCGTCTTGGCAACAGGCTTGCAGAAACAAAATGGGTCGCCTGCCCAATCATCGATGATGAGGCTGAGGTGGTGCGCGGTGATTGTGCCGCTGACGGAGGGGCCGCAGGAGCGGACGGCGGAGAGGGCGGCGGATGTGCTGCAGTGCTCGAGAATTATGCGGAGGGTGGGGAATTTGGCGTGCAGGGAGAGGAAGGTGGGGAGGAAGGCGGGTTCGGCGTTGAGGATGGTTATGGCGCCTGTTTTACTGTCCTTTGTGGTGGTGAGGTGCGCGGAGGATGGGGTCGAGGGGACTTCGCCGTGGAGGTTTAGGACCATGTTCTGTTTCTCCATTTCGGCGAAGACGGGGTAGAAGGTTTCGTAGTCGAGAACACCGGATGAGGAATTCTGCGTGGGGTTAGGATGGCTGTCGTACTTGCAGTCTTGATCTTTCCTTTTACTCGATCCATCTTATTGTCTGTGTGGCTTGGAGGATTGTCGGGTAGGACTTCACTTACCGTAGTAACTCCAGCGGGATACGACTTGACACCCGTAATCCCCGCTTTCTTCGCTTCACGAATAACCTCCGGCGTGATATCCTCGTGGAGATACAGCGACATGACGTAATCCACATTCGGCTCAATAGCACGGAGTCTGTCGCGGTACTCGAGGCATTGCTTCACGGATATAATAGGCGGGACCAGGTTCGGCTGTAATAGTGATATAACGGGTTAGAGAAACGTGACTGAAATGTTGCGAGATTCGTAAATCGGCAACAGCACATGAACAGAAAGAGAGGAAGAAGGCGAGCAAGATTGACGATAGTAACAAGAATTAAATGACCGACATCTTGAATGAGAAATGGACGGTATCAAACTCACCATAACATACACCTGATTCACACCACCCTTCCGAATCGTAGGCGTAACAAGCTGCGACATCTCGCCATCTCTCAGATGCACATGAGCATCATATGCCGCCGGCAGCTCAATCTCGGTCAACTCCGTAAACTTCATCTCTGGTGTCCGATGACTATGAAATCGTGGAGTGAGTCGTTGCTGTTGTTGTTACCCCCAAAAAAAGTTGTCCCGCATTTTATGCGAGATCGGGCACCCGTGGCGCAAATAGAGCCGCACTAGTCCGGATGTGGAAGGGCATCATCAAACGTGCAGATAAACGTACAGATGAACACGGATGTGCTGGATGCGGGTGTTTCCATCGTCAAACCAAGACCTACATGTGATCGAACCACCTTGTTACACAGCCCCCCACCTGAGTGACTTTAACCCGGACTAGAAGAGCATCACGAAGCTTCCGCAAGTATAGTGAAACAAGCGGTGAAATCTTGTGCGATTGCGGCACCTCTACTATCGTAACGAACTGTCGCTTTCCCGTAACACCAAGGCGGTCTCCTTCTGACAACATCTATCCTCAATCTTACAACTCACTGTGCCCCTCCCTCTCAGCATCCTTCTCCTCCTTCTCCCTCCTCTGCTCCTCCTCCTGCACATCCACCACCCCCTCCCCCTTCGCATTTTCATCCCTCTCCTCCCCCTTAACCCTCCTCGCCAACCCCGCAATCTCCTCATCGTAAATATTCCACTCAGGAACCTGCCTGCGTGCCCGATCCAACTTCGGCTCCTTAGTCTGCGGATTATTACAAAGATCAATCGTCTTCGCCTTGTGCAAATCCTCATCACTACACCAAGTCTCGCACCACAGCCACTCCTGGGGTAAACTGTGGATGGGGAGGTTGAACTGCATGTTATTGGGTAGGTCTTGGTCGAGGTTGGAGAGGGAGTTTGGGTCGGCGGAGAGGGCGTGGTATTGCTGGCGGAGGCGGTCGCCGGCGGCGAGTTGGCGGAAGCGGGTTAGGTCTACGACGTACAGCGCGGAGATGTGGTAGGGGCGACCGCGCAGGAAGTTAGCCCAGTAGCCTGTTTTCCAGAAACGGAATCCTTCCATTTCGGTGCGCGAGTCGCCCATGGGGGTGAAGCCGTAGGGTGCGCCTTCGAGGTCGTGTTGCACGAGTTCGTACATGTCTGTTCGCACGATTTGGTCGGCGTCGACGAAGATGACTTTTTCGAGGTCGAGCGGGAAGAGGACGTCGAGGAAGAGGATTTTGTAGCCCCAGATCTCGCGCTGCTTTTCGGTTTGGCCGCGCAGCCAGTGCGGCCATTTGTAGGTGACCATTTCGTATTCGAAGCCGTACTCGGCGGCGATGTGCGGGAGGAAGGATTTGAAGCTGGGAGATAGGAATTGCTCGATGAACCAGAATTTGACGGTGTGTTTGGTGTGCTTCATGACAGATACCATCATGATGTTCAGCATACGCTCGTACAAGTGGCCTGAAGCGACTGAGAAAATGTTGATGTCTGCTTGTGTGCCCTTCTTCGCCGCTTTGCCTCCGGAGAACAAGTCAGCGCCCTTCTGCAGGACCTTCTCAGAGTCAAAGTTGAGACCAATCTTGCCGAGGAACTTATTGACCTTCTGCGCGCTCTTTCCAACCAGCTCAGAGGCGAGCGACTCTTCAGGAGCAAGCACATCGGTCTCTTCTTGACCTGGCTTTCGCGATAGTCGAGGGAATATCGTTGCTCCTTGGAAGCTCATGAGAGCAATCTCGGTAGTCTCATCACCAGGCACAGGTGCCCAACTGATAGGACCCGCACTATCAAGGCTGAAAACTTCCTGAGAGCGGCCGCTCTTCAGCTGGATGTTGTAAAAGCCAGGAGTGGCCTTGAACTGGAAGTAGCCGAGATTAGCCATGATGATCGTATCCGCGAAATGAGGATCCCGCTCGGTGGCAAGGACAACTTCAGCACCACGCGGTGGCTGACCACCATTCGTAGTGTCACGAGAGTGGCCCTCGATAAGGATGTTTTCCAATTCATAGACAGCGGTGACATCGGCACCAGCAGGAATGGTACTAAGCTTGATGTTGTCGAGATCATATACAGACTCTTTCGGGGCAACCAGCCAAGAGGGTGGCACATCCATGCCAAGGTTCAGCAAAGCCTCCTTGGGAATGCCATAAAAGTGGGTTCCAAGGCTTCCGATGGATCCATCGGCGACGAAGGACGGTCGGGCTTCGAGGACGTATCTGTAGAAACGTTTAACAGGAAGCTCTTGAAGCATCTGCTTGGGGTTGAGAAAAAGCTTGAGGTGTGTGCCCTCCATGTCGCTGAGTACTTTGAGGATTGGTACCCATTTCTGTGCCAGCTCTGTAGCTGGGTCAATCGAAGCCACAATCTGAAAGACAGCCTTGTCTTCGTCACCCCGGATGATAGCGGTGTGCTTGGCAGTCCAGTTGTTGTATGTGCTCATCCTCAGGGTTGATGCAGTCTCGAAAATGCCTTCTGGGACGTCCGACACGGTGGAAAGTGCGACCAGCGACTGGATTTTCGCAACATCTATAGGAGATGCGATCTTTTCCATGAGATCAAGATCGGCAAGCGCTTTGTTCAACGGCTCAACGCGTTTGACCTGCTCATAAGTGACAAAAGTTTCCACGTCATCGTATGAGAATCCGTAATCTTCTGGGATGGGTCCCACGAAGCGTCCATTGACGAGCATGCCGTTCTGTCCCGGCTTCAGACCGAACGCGTCGTAGATTGGCTCAGCGACCTTCCAGAATGAAGTGGAGTTGGCGGGAGTTGGTCCGTAGTTGGCATCCCGGTTCATGATCTCGGAGAGGGCTTCGGTTGTAAGCCTACGGTCAGACTTGATGTAAGTTTCTAGAAGATCTTCCGAGGCGTTCGACTGCTCCGCACCGGCTTTCGGGTTGTGAATGAGGACAGCCTCTACGTTGGGGTTTGCCTCACGGAAATCTGCTAGTGCTTTCAGAAGAGCGAAACCAGCCTCCGAATCGAAGTCTGCCACGAGCGTGACGTGAATCCAGTCACCCTTGCTAGCAGACTCAGATGTCTGGATCCGCGGCATCTTGTTGTAAGCCTCACCGTGCGTCTCCTCAAACTCAGCCATGTTGATGAGCGTGATGTTCTTCTCGTTCTCCGGGATGATGAGAGGATTGCGCTTAGCAGCAGCTGAGGCCAAGAAATGTTGCGGAACCCAGCTATCGCTGTTGAAGTTACCGTTGAAGACTGCTTGTTGGATCTGACGAAGATCCATGCCGACTCTTTGGCTGAGTGTTCCGAGCCACTCTTCAGTAGCTGGAATAGGAACACCGTTAACGAAGACGGGGGCTTTGGGGCCTTCTGCTGCTAGTCGCTTCAGGTACTGTTTGGCGCCTGTGATGCGCTGATCTAACGTCTCTGACTTCAGTACATCATCAAACACCAGAGCCTCCTTTCCTTCGAGGAGCGCTGTTTTCTTGACTGTCGCATCGAAAGTGGCTTGATCTGCGTGCGCCAACTTCTTGCCATCCGCCAACTGTTTTGCGTCAGCGCAACATATGACTTCATAAGAGATTTCAACACTTACTACTTGGAGGTATTCGATCACAGCAGGCAGTCCATACGCGTCATGCAGATAGTAAACTACCTTGGCCTGCTCAAGAGCACCAGATGTAGCGGTCTGAGGAACAATACCCCAGCGCAGCGGGATACCACGCCTGATGAGACTGAGGATAGTCTCAAGCATGGTCGTGACATCCTCGGACGAAGTCAAGTCGACAGCGACGATGGCGTTGTGAATGTCTCTGCGGCAAGATGGAAGTTGGCCAGGGTATGTTCTTTGCAGCAACTGTAGTTACGATCAGCTCACGATCAATGACATGGATAGTTGTACGCACAGCCCTAAGTTCACTCGGCCACCCTTCATACATCGGATCGTTTTCGATGTCGTTCAGCCACAGGATGACGTTGCCTCCCTCAGTAGCATCTCTGAAGTCGTAACGTTGAGGTTCAGCATCCGCCTGGGTCTGGGCGATAGAGTCATGCGACAATAGTGAGATGACTTCAGAACCGCTTAGACCCTGACTGCGTATCCCGTTGATCAGCTTACGTTCACGTCGCAAGTGAGCCAACAGCGAGAACGGGTTCACATCGCGGGCTGGGATCTGTACACCGTTGATCCAGATGACATTGTACCCGGTAGGGAGGAGTTGCTCGCGGTTCTTCAGATGTTCTTCCAGGAAGTCTTCCGACGCGTTGTGGGCTGCGATGATGGACGAGTACTTCGGAAAGTCTTGCACGAGCTTCATGAGGGTATCCATGGGTTGTTCGCTTTGGGTGACAAAGCTGGCAGCCTTCAGTCCAAGGTCAGATACCTCGTCCTTGGACAAGGGCTTGAGGTCTGCGACATCTTCATCGTCGTCTAGGCCGGTGCCCATTGGCTTTTGAGAAGCACTCTTGTCTCCCTGTTCAGCCTGCCTGTCGTCTATGACAATGTAGTCGGTCCGCTTCAGTTGTAGCTCGACACCGTATCCGTTCACTACCAGCGGCGTTGTTGGGGCCTTCAAAGAAGGCTTGTGCCGGACACGGTACGAAGTCTTTCCTTGCTTGGCCGTATCGCTAAGTGTCTTGTGCCATTTCTTGAATCGAGGAGCGGTGATATCGGCGTACAGAATCGCAGGTAGAGCCGAGCTGTTGCCAAGCATACGGTCGAAGGGTAATTGGTATGTCCTGTTGCTTTCTCAGTATCTGCCCATAAGCCAAGCCCTTTGTACGTACCGCTCGCTCTCAATGTCTCCGAACGGCTCGTCTAGGTGTACGGAGCAGTATTGCTTCCCATGAAACGATGCCCAAATCTCGCATTTCTCGTTCTGCTCCGCCTTCAGTGAAGGCTCTACCGATGTGTTGTAGAATTGGTAATGTGCTTCTATCCGCGGCGCAGCTGACCGGATTGAAAGAGCGAGATCGAAGGAAGCGAGGGCTTCAGGCTGGGTGATGTGTCCGTCGCTTTTCAGGAGGTGCACAAAGGCTGTATACAGCGCCTGCTCTGTCGTCTTCTCGTCGAAGTAGCCCTCGGATACGCGGTCGAGGATGGGGTAGTATGCCGTCGCATTCTCTTCTGCAGCGGTTTCTCTGGGAGGGGTTAGTCGCAGCTCTTGCTTTTGGCACACCCGAAGCTTACAATAACTCTACTAGGTATGGCGCTGGATTGAAAGAAGCCAGAAGAGCGACACTGACACCTGGACGAGCCGCATGCGCGCCAATGTGCCTGAAAGCGCTGAGCACTAAGAGAGCTTTCGCGCTCAGCATAGAGGCTGAAGCTCGCATCGTGTAAACTCTGCCCCAAGCCCTCAAGGAATCGTGGTGGCGTGTAGCAATGACGAGCGATAGTCGTGATGTTTCGAAAGTTCAACTCCCGATCTCAAGAAGTTGCAACGTGTAGCATAACGTCCAGATTGTATTGGTCAGGGAATGTGGCCTGAATCTAGCCACGTGATATGGTATGATTCAACGCATTGGAAGTTCGCAAGGAAATTAAAAGCAGTGGTCGCGTACAGTACGAGAATTATTGCTCCTCTGTCGCGTCCCCTCCAGCATCTGGAGCTCCAAGTGTCAGGTACCAGATCCCTGCAGCCATGATGGCGCTAACGCGATAAGGCCGCGGCTCCCTTATCGCGTCAGTCCCGCCGCCGAACCTCCGTCTGCCATCATACCCGACGGAAAGCTTCCGCTCTTCACTTACAACCAGCTTAATTCTAGACGCGGCTCTTGCGCTGCGGAAGAACCATTAGCAGGAGTTTCCCGATGTATTCACCAAGTCATGATAAGGCTACCGCCTAAATCCTGCCCATTCACGGAGTTGCCGTGGGCTGCGCCAAACTACCTAGGTACTGCACATGTACTAATCAGCGGCTCACGCCCTACAAGGATGCAAGGCGTAGCCAAGAGCTGCAGTCAGACTCTACATCGAGGAGTATGATGTCGCAGTTACTATCGTTTTCCCGGCATCGGTCTGCCCTTATATAGCAGGGTCTGTCGCCTAGCACTTTAACCTCGTAAGACATGTAGTATAAGTTCCGACTTCCTCTCACTGTTTTTTTCTCAGAGTATCTTGTCATCAAATCTTTCCAACATGTCGCAAACCGCAACATCGATCGAACTTGTGAGCTATCCTGAGACATCGATCCCAGCCCTCACAGCCAAACCATTGGGCAATGGAGGAAGCAAGGATACGCCGTCGATGGCTGAGGATTTACGTCCCATCAACGGAGTCCCGGAATCATTCGCTGCTGAACAGCGAGATGGTCCTGGCAAGGGAACGACGGCCATCGTCTTAGTGACAGTTGTTTGTGTCACCATGGTCAGCTCCATGCTGTCGGGTGTCATGACTGTCACCCTGCCTACGGTCGCACGCGAACTAGAGCTGGCACCTAGTGTACTCTTATGGTTTGTAAACATATCCCATATTCCATACTACCTATTGACCAGTCTAGGCCAATCTCCATCTACGCTTTGACCTGCGGCTGCACTCTTCTTCTCCTTGGTTCCGTCGCCGATGTCGTTGGCTCCCGACCTATGTACCTGGTAGGATGTCTTCTGCAATCCGCCTTTACACTGGCATGTGGATTGGCGCAGACTGGAACACAGCTCATTGTGTTCCGTGCCTTCGCCGGCGTAGCAATCTCCTTCTGCCTCCCCTCAGCTGTTAGTATCATCACGAGTACGTTTCCAGAAGGCAAAAGCAGGAACATTGCATTCGCATCCATGGGCGGTGGCCAACCCATAGGCTTCTCATTTGGACTCGTGCTCGGGGGTGTCTTCGCCGATACCATCGGATGGCGATGGGGTTTCCACATTAGTGCGATCGCCAATACCATTGTCTTCGTACTAGGGCTGTTCGGTCTCCCAAAGGTCGACAACAAGCAGCCCCATGTCTGGTCCCGCTTGAAGAGCGACATTGACTGGGTCGGCATCCTCTTTGGAAGCGCATCATTGGCGCTCCTCTCATACTGTTTCGCGTGAGTGTTGATCTCACATATCTGATGGCTCGATGCTAATGCCTTTAGTTTGATCTCTGAAGAGACAGCCAGAATCCGAGAGCCTACTACACTCGGTCTGCTCATTACTGCGATCGCTCTCATCCCTGCATTTATCTTCTGGGTTGGCAGACAAGAACGACTGGGCCGGCCCGCTATCATCCCGAATTCACTCTGGCGCAACCGCATCTTCAGCATCATCTGCATCGGGGTCTTCATCACATGGGGAACTTTCAATGCTGTGGAGTCGTACCACACGCTCTTCTTCCAGAACGTGCAGAAGCTATCGGCAATCCAGACGTCGATCCGGTTCCTACCCGGACCAGTAGCTGGAGCTCTCGCCAATCTGGTAATGGGCCTGATTGCTCACCGGGTTCGAGCTGACTGGGCGGTAACCGTCGGATTATTCTGCACGACTCTTGGCGGGCTGCTTATGTGCATCATACAGCCGGAATGGTCGTACTGGAGCTGCGCGTTCCTTTCTGTGTTCTTCAATCCTATTGGTGCGGATGCGTTGTTCACAGTCTCGAACCTTGTCATCACTTCAGTGTTTCCAGCGCGGACGCAGGGACTGGCAGGTGGCGTCTTCAACACGGTAGCGCAGATTGGCAAAAGTGTAGGGCTGGCGACCAGTGCTGTCATCGCCTCTAGTGTTACGGAGCATTCGGGTTACGTTGAGAAACAGAGTCCTGCAGCACTTATGGAGGGGTTCCGTGCGGCGTTCTGGTATCTGTTTGCGTTGAGCTGCGCCACGGGTCTGTTGTTGGGGTGGGGGTTGAGGGGAATCGGGCGGGTGGGAATGAAGCGGGAGTGAAAGTCAAATGAGACAGGAATAGAGTCTACTGAAATAATTCAAAGTAATGTTGCCCTGCCAAGCGTTACACCCGGGCGGGTATGGTGAAGTGTGGAAGGTGGATGTGTAGCATGTTTCACGTTGGGTCCAGGGCTGGCACATGCAGATCCCGCCTAGTGACATCTGGACGCGCAACCAGGCCCAGGTACGGGAAGATCCACCTTTGCGTCGAGGAGAGCTGACGACAACGAGGCCGAACACACCCCCGGCGCCGCCTGCATCCCGCGCCATGATCATCACGTAGGTCCTGGTCTCGAACACCTCTCCACACCATCAATGAGCCCTCGCTACTAGCCGTCGCCGCCCACCATGCTCAGCGGACCCCCGAGGGCCATCCCGCTCGTCTTCGTCTTCCTCGCCGCCGGCCTCGTGTGGTGGTATCTCCACGCCATCCCGTCAATCCCAACATGGAATTCCGGGAGCAGCGCTGCCCACGGCTTCCGGCCCTCGCTGCGCGGTGACCCACTCGACTTTGGCCTGCCGCTGCGCTTCTCAGAGGCGCAGACGAAGCCGCCGGGCAGCAACTACACGTACAAGATCATCGTGCCCAAGACGCAGAAGGAGGACATTAGCTGGATGGACAAGGAGATCCCCGATGCGCCGCTGGTCGTGTACGAAGTCGACAACCCCAATGCCGAGCACAAGATCCCCAAGAACAAAGGGCGCGAGGCCATGGTATGCATCAGGTCATTACATATAGGTGTTGTAATTGTCCGCTAACTGACCAGGTCTACCTCTCGTACATCATCGACCACTACGACGACCTGCCCGATACGTCCATCTTCATGCACGCCCACCGCCACGCCTGGCACAACAACCAGCTCCTCGGCCTCGACGCCGCGCAGATGATCCAGCGCCTCAACCACGAGCGCGTCGCCCGCATGGGCTACATGAACGTGCGCTGCCACCACGACCCGGGCTGCCCGGACTGGATCCACATGGACCGCCCCGGCGGCGACTTTGACTTCTTCCACAAGCCCGAGGAGATTTACTGGCGGCGCAACATCTGGGAGGAGATCCACCCGGGCGCCCCGATCCCGCCTTCCATCTCGGGAATCTGCTGCGCGCAATTCGCCGTGTCAAGACAGCGCATCCAGGAAGTGCCGATTGAGCGCTTCATTCACTACCGCAAGTGGCTCCTTACAACGGGCATGGACGACCAGTTCTCCGGCCGCATCTTCGAATACATCTGGCACTACATCTTCACTGGCCATGAAGTCCACTGCCCGGCTATGAACACGTGTTACTGCGACGGCTACGGCATTTGCTTCGGCGGCCAGAAGAAGTACGACGAGTATTTCAAGAAGCAGGATGCGCGCAACGAGAAGTTCACCCAGCTGGATAAGTTCAACAAGCGCGAAGAGGAGGCTAAGAAGGACGGCAAGGACCCCAATTTCTCCAAGGAAGAGATTGAGACTATCAATAAACTGAGGACGGAGATTAGTGGTATGGATAGGGAGTTGGATGTGTTGAGAGAGGACGCGAAGAAGAGGGGTGATGATCCTAAGGCGCGGAAGGAGGAGACGGAGAGTTGGGATTCGTCGCATATCTGGGACTATGCTCCGAAGAACGGTTGATCTATTGATATCGATGATGGGTACTTTTGGGCTGAGTGGATTTATATCACTGTTTGCGTCAACTGCATGCCGGAGGAAGGCGTTCATGGAGGCGTTTACAGCAGGTTTTCTGGTATGGCCTGGTGAGCTTGCGCCGTGCATGAGCGCTGCATTAGATTTCATGTCATTTCAATAGTATTTAACGATGTGTTGTTCTGCTACATTAAGTACGGATACCACGGTGTTGGTGAGGGGTTCTTTCACCTGTCGACCTGATCAATCCATATATATCTCGACTGGCGATAAAAAACAAAAGACAGTACCACGCATTTCTTACCGACTACACATGCACTGCATGCAATTGAGATTAGACTTGGGATATCCGCTGCCTTGCGCTACCCCTTCTGGTGTTGCTGATCTCCACAACCACCCGTTCGTACGACCAGCACGTGCTAACGCCTTCCACAGCACATCTCATCTCGCCCCCAATCCTTCAACATCTTCTTCCGTCGCAAACAACCATCCTTCATTATCACAAAGACCCATAATACCAACTCACCAAATAGGCGATCCACCTATCCGACGACCATGTCCCACCTGCCTCTCCAAATGCGGGTGGCTGGTGCGCTTGCCCCCGGGTGAGGCTCTGCTGCCTTCCCTAATCGAACATCGCTACCAGTCCGAGCGCAATAATCTCCGTGTCGTCTCCGCTGTCTCCTCCAAAAATGTTTGACTGCTGTCTGAGACTGCGTGTTTGATTTTGGGTCTGGTGTCTTGCTATCTTTGTTGTGGCTGGGTGTTTGACACGCGACGCGTTGGTGACCTTTGTGGGTCGCAATCACTGTAAGAGCTGGAATTCACTGCTGCAAGAGTCACCGTCACCCCCGCATTCACTGTTGTACGCAAAGTTACGGATGCTGCCTAGAGAGAAAGAGAGAGATAGCAGTTTCGATCGTTTCGCGGTTTTTCTGACTCCTGTACGACGCGCGCGACACTTCACGCATACACCGAAATCTCGCCGAGATAATCATCACCATTGCGAGCGCACGATGGATGCGACAATCGGTGACAACATCACGCTAGAAACGCCAGATCCAAAGAAGCGGCGGCAAAGCGCACAGAGCACCACACCAAGACGACGAAGCGAACCGAAAATCACCTTGCCGGCGTTGAGTGATTTCGCCAGATCACATGTCGCCAACTGGTCTCCGCCTGTACCTATAACACCAGAATCGGAAGCATTACGAAGTTTGAAGAGCGAATGGAGAAAGCAATCCCGCGAAGAGCCTGTGTACGATGGGCCGAGATCCGAGAAGCAACTTCTGATCGTGGATCTGCAAGATTACGAGATCTATCGAACACCGGAGAGCGAGTGCAGAGCGTATGAGTTGACGAGCCTGCACTATCTGGAGGTCTCGATTGCGAAGAAATTATGCTTTGATGGCTTCATCTGTGTGGGATCGACCAAACACTTTGTCCATGCAGTACCGATTCAGGATAGCTCTGTCGAGGGCTACGGAGACGATGAAAACTCTGGTGTTACTACATACATACAGTCTACGTTCGCGGCTAGTAGGGACAAGCACTACGACATATGGTACAGACTTGCGAAGCCCGCTCCAGGCTACAAAGAGTTCCAGAATTCGTTCCTCTGGGTAGCGCAGCTAGGAAAGCATATTATCGACTACGTGGACAGTCAACCCGTAGGATCCGTCGGGCTCAACAACTTCCGCGAAGACTTCTATCAATGGCTCTCGCCTCGTTTTAGTCATTGTGCCGACTTCCAGCAATGGCATACTGCTTTCAGACATCAGGCTGACTTTCGCGTCGCCGTACACGCTTACATCGAATACTTCTACAACCAAGCGTTCAACCTTCCGAACTCGAAACAGCTGCTTGCTCATCCTCTCTGGAGCGAGTGCATGGCTAAAGGGTTAACGGCAATCAAGGCGCAGAAGCAAATCATCGAGCACACCATCGCTACACCGGAGGTTTACGATTGCTTCAAGCACATGTACTTTGGTGAGCAAATTCAGGCAAAACGGCCTACTGACACGGTCAGAATCGTACAGGAGCGCAGGAAACGGAGGCTTGGCTTTGCGCAGAGTTTCTGGGCACGGCCACCGCCTACTCCGCGACGGAATGTATGTCAACCGTATGGCGACTCACCAGTGAAGGTTGGCGACGTTGTCGCCTTGATCCCCGACGAGGCTGACGCAACTGTTTGGCGCAACACGACCTGGGAGTGGCTCGCATACGTTCAGGGTACCGAGCCCCTGAAGGACGGAACGCAGAGGTTGTTCGTGCTATGGATTTATCGACATCACGAGACCAATATCTTCAAAGCAGAATACCCATACCAGAACGAAGTCTTCTTATCGGACAACTGCAATTGCTCTGAAGGAGAGTTATTGTCCACGGACATCAAGGGAAGATACGATATAGACTGGTCGCCTTCCACTATCGACGCTGAACGCTTTTTCGTTCGCCAAACCTACGTCACCCAAGACAGCGCCTTTGTCAGCCTTCGATCTTCACACAAGACTTGCACGTGTTGGAAGGAAAAGGGCACATCCGTCGACAACTACCGTCGAGGCGACACGGTATATCTGGCAAGGACCCGGAACGGAGACAAGTTTCTGGATCCAGTCGTCTTCCAATACATCGATCACGCCAAAGGGACTGTCAGAGTGCGAAGGCTGTTACGACTAGAACGCGACTGTAGAGAACTAGCAATCAAAGCTCGGCGCTCAAATGTCTTGGCCAATGAGCTGGTCCTTACGGACGAATACGAAGATGTGTCCGCATCCCGCATCCAGCGACGTTGTTTCGTCAAGTTTGTGACTAAGTCTGACGTCCAGATTGGACGGATACCTTTCACGTACAATCGCGGCGGTGCGGGCGATCTCTGGTTTCTATCCATGGGGTTGGGCAGCAAGGACGGAGAGCAGAACCTTATCTTCCTACGATGTCTTCCCAAGAGCTTCAACGAAGGCCCCGACATGACTTCTCCTGAATCACTGAGAGGAATGAGCATCTTCAGTGGCGGTGGCTCGCTTGATCGAGGTCTTGAGGAGGGCGGAGCAGTCACTTTTCATTCTGCTGTTGACTTCAGCCCCCATGCCATACACACTCAACGGGCAAACTCGAAGAGCCCGGAGACGATGTATCTGTTCTGTGGATCTGTCGATGATCACTTCGACGCAGCTCTCAAGGGTGCCAAACCTGACCTTGTTCCGCGAGTCGGCGAGGTCGACTTCCTTGCTGCTGGATCGCCATGTCCTGGGTTCTCAGCTCTTCAGCACAATATTCTCAGTCCGCAGTCCTTGAAGAATGCATCACATATCAGCACCTTCTGCTCGTATGTGGATCTATATCGCCCTTTGTACGGTATACTCGAAAACGTCGTCAACATGGCTTCAACACGGACTGGATTTGAAGACCAGAATGTCCTATCTCAGGTGGTTGCTTCTCTAGTCTCGATGGGATACCAATGTAATCAGTACATCATGGACGCTTGGAGTTACGGCAGCGCGCAACAGCGTTCACGCCTGATCCTCACCATAGCTGCACCCGGACTTGAGCCAATTGCCCAACCTTGGCACACTCACGCGCGGCCTTACGAGGAGACGGCGGGACGAAGCTTAGGTTATTTACCCAACGGACAGAAATTTGGTGAACGCGAGCACTACCCAACGCCGTTTCCGTATGTACCAGCGGTGTCTGTCGATGCGGGATTGCCCGATATTGGCAATGGTATCGTACAGACTTGTATTCCGTTCCCAGACCACCGCTTAGGCCAGTTACCAACGCGCAAGCAACGTGCACTGGTCAGATGCATTCCACGGCAGCCCCCAGGTTGTGGCTACAAAGAAGCGGACCAACTTGGCCTTATCCCGACTTCACTACGAGATCCCAGAACCGACATCGGGAAAGCGTACAGGCGGATCAAAGCAGCTGGGTTGGTACCGACTATCACAACAAATATAGTCATCCGAGATTCTCGAAACGGCGCCACATTGCATTGGGACCAACATCGGTCTATCAGCGTATTGGAAGCTCGTCGGACGCAAGGATACATGGATGAGGAGCCCATCATTGGTTCGCTTCCGGAGCAATACAAGATCGTGGGCAATGGCGTGGACCGTAAGGTTGCTTTTGCCATGGGTCTGTCTCTACTACAGGCCGTCCAGAAGAACGAGTTGGGGTTTACTGCGAACGGAACGACGCAGAACTCCGCTGAGATTGTGGACGTTACTAGCGATGTTGAAACATCTCAGATCCAGAAGAGTGTTAAGAAGCCCAGACCTCAGTCCAAAGTATACGATGTGTCGCCAGTCCAAAAGGGACAGCTCGGTAGGAGTTCCGGTCCGGTAGTGGCTATACCTGGACGACGGAAAACGGAAGGCGCTACTTCAACTATGATCAGTAATCCAGGGTCTTCTAGGAGGAATGCGAGCGTGCCTAATGGCGCAACTAGCGAAACTTCACAGACTCCAGCTATATCACAACCTAACGCCTCCGTTACCCAGACCACCGGCTTCTTCTCCCGACTCTCCAAATCTCTCGCCGCAGGCGTCGGTCGACTCTCCCTGTCGAGCATGTCCACTTCTTCCTCTACCCCGACTCCCGCACCAACCCCCGTAAAACGCAGTCGCGAAGAGGATGAAGACCCTTTCGCACCAGAAAGTCAGAGCCGCACATCAAGAGAGCGACCAAGGAAACAACTCCGAGTCAGCGCAACACCATCGGCACAAGATGGGATCAAACTTGAAACAGAACCTCGTAGGAGGAAGTCTGTATTCTCGCATCGAAGCGGCAGTGTGAGTTCGACGAGCTCGAGTAAGACTCGTTATACTCGTCATTCAGGATTGTCGGTGGAGTATGTGCCGAAGAATTGGAATAAGAGGGTCGAGGTAGAGATGCGTGGGGTGGTCTTTGAAGAGGAGTTTGCGCAGGCTGATTAGTTGATCTGAGATGGTAAAGGGGAGGGTTGAGGAGTGACTTTGGCGATGGAGGATCTTGTTTCGTGGTGGGCTGAGTAGTTGGACCACGCGATGCGGATACCCAATACTCTGGCATAGAGTCGATACCTCATAAGCTTGATGCGCATTACTGTAGCTGCCGTCAACACAGTGGAATCATAACACCACCGACTTATTTACTGCATGTAATACGACATGAATACTCTACCCAAAACCACGCTCGAATCCAGCAATAGGAGTGTTTGACGTTCAGAGTGGCATCGTGACGCGCCTGCGTCTTGCCATTGAGAAGGGCCGATAGAGCCGTGTCTCCCGACCACCTTTACGATGATCGACAACCACCACGCGATGCGGTCATAACACTCCAACATCTGCATAACGAGCACAGATACCGATAACAGGTTTTCGTCCTATTCAATATCGAAAACTATGGGTACGTTGGTGAGATGAGACAGATACCACACACGATCGGGTCTCGGCTCCCCTAGCGTATACTGGTGGCTACGCCGGCACGGCTGTACCTGGGTTGGGTGGAGAAGATAGGTTCATGCCAAGACAGGTATGACATAGGTGGTCCAGCGTCCAGATGACGCTGAAGACGTAATGTGGAGGTACTGCAGCAGGTTGGCTGTGTGTATGTCATGGGTATATAAGGCTGGGTGCTGGTGTATATGAAAGGCTATACATCATTAACCACTCATCACAAAACAACTCGCATCTATCTCAATCACCGCTCCCTGTACACCTACCCAACCAAACTACACATCGCATCCACATCGAACATGTCCGGCCAAGGAGTTTCCCACCAGGGCATCACCGCCCCCGGTCTCAGCGAGGCGGACCAGAACATCAACAACACCACCGAGGATATCAGCAACAAGGCTTCTGGACACAAGGCTAACTTGAGCAACCCCAGTATGTTTACTCTTTCCCCTCACTACCTTATTGTTGGGTTGAATGAGATTAGGATAGAAGACTAACGCGTGATGCAGACACTAGCGAGGAGTCCAAGAAGAAGTCTGCTGAGGCACTCAAGGCACTTGGTGGTGAGGACGCTTTCTATGGAAAGCAGGGTAAGGGCGAGTAGGGGATTTTACCTTTGCCTGATGAAGGGGGAATGAAGTTATGATACCATATTGAGATGAGAATATAATGTCTTTCAACACTGATGATGCGCGCGTCCAAGTGCTGCGTGAGTGATTTACAGCTTATTTGTGTGCTCCATCGTACTGTACAAGTATGCCTTCAGGCGCAACCCAGAAGATGAAGCCCATAGTCAGCTGTTGTATGTCTGAAAAGCGGCACGAGGACAAGACGATGGACCATCGCGTCGGCGTTCTTTCCACGCGGAAAGCGATGACGTCATCAACATCATCGTCTCCTTCCCCACACATCTCCACCCCAGCGATGCAGCCTCACCAAACATACCACAACAACAAAAGTTCATCTCAACATAACTTCAAATCTTTACTGAGGCATCCCATCCCTAAGCCACAGCCATGACATCCACATCCTCAACCCCCACCCCCACCCCCTCCATACCAACCCTCCACACCAAAGCCGAGTACCTCAAAGCCGTCATGTACGAAGGCGTCACCATCCTCGAAGGCACAGCCACCTGGTGCAAGAACTGCCACATTGTCGCCCCTGAAGTCGCAAAGATGGTGGCGGAGTACCCAAACGTAAAGTTTTACACGTATGATGTGGAGGAGTGTGAGGATATTGCGCAGGAGCTGGGGGTTAGGAGTATGCCGTCGTTTAGTGTGTTTAAGGATGGGGATATTATGGAGGGGGTTACCGGGGCGAGGCCGAAGGAGGTTAGGAGGGCTATTGAGGGGTGTTTGTAGGGTGGGGAATGAGGGGAGTGGTGGAGGTGAGAGAGCGGGCTGATGGTGTTGGCGTTTCCGAGGCGCATGAAATCTGTTGACTCATCCATTCTCACTGAAACTTCGATTTTATGACCGCACAACGGCGGTGGAATTGCGGCTGCCAAGCGCGGAGGTGAAGGCTACCTTGAGAAGCGAGACCGCATTTGCACGAGCCTTTTCTCATATGCATCCATGACTCTTACTTACTTTTCTACTACTGAAACACCATCATTACTAACCCCCGTACAATCACTGTCGCACCACCTCTCCCTCAATAATTTCAGCGAAACGTTTAACCTATCACCCACGAACGCATCTCCGGCCAATCGAGTGACAGTGCCATTCTCGCACACGAAGGCAACATGGCGGACCTCAGAAAAGAGATGTCGCTAAAGGCCTCGGCCAGGGTCTTATTAGAGAGAATTGCGGAGTTCGACGAGGCGATCGCGCGACTGGTCGACAAAGAAACAGAACCGTGGGTGTCATATATGAAGTACAAACTCGAAGGTGCAAAGAACAGACTTGAGTTACGTAAAGCAGAGCTTCCGAAAGAAGACTACGAGACCACCGCGAAGGAGTTCTACACTCAACGTCTTTCCAAATACGAAGAACCACTCGTCATCGAGATCACCGACTTAGTACAGATTGCTTCGACAGAGACAAAAGCTTGGACAGACGCTGCCGACTCTTCGCGTACTCTCCGACAGCTGAACGATTCACTGAAACAATACAAACTTGAACTTCAAGAGAAAGATCGAACGCAGGTGGTCTCGCAGGAATCCGGACAAGTGGCAGTTGATGACATTGCCGTACGGAAGCTAAAATCGGACGTCGAGGCCTACACCGACAAGGTCAAGGAGTACTACATGAACAATCAGACGCTCTGTAGCACAGCGCACAAGGCAACAGTTACAATGAATCTTGCCGTAAAAAGCGATCTCAACATACCCGGTGTCGGAAAATATATTCCCATCCCCGCACCCGTCACAATTACGACAGCTCAAGTCAAGGTCGCGGACTTGGCCTGTAGCTTGGAAGCCGCCGGAAAGGATGTCACAGTGGATGAAGCTTCCGGAGCGATTTTCCCCAGGCCCAAAAGCGTGACAGCTATAGTCACAGTAGACCAACAGCTGTCAAAGATCCAGTTATGTTCACCCCAGAAGCATTACACTGACGTCCAACGGATGAGGCGGCGTGATTTCAAGGTTGGCGACATAGGCTGGTTCCCCGTCTTGCGTCCTTCTTTAGCAGAGTCTCCGTCAGATATCCATACTCAGTACGGTTACATTTGCGCAAAGTCGTATCCACTGATCATAGTGGAAATGTTTCAAGACTGTATGTTGGGCCTGATCATCTCGACGGCAAACAGAACTGGCCTGAACAACAAGGATCGTTCTATCGTAAATCGCAGCGTCCCAATCATCACCTACATGTCTCCAAACCCCACATCGTCGGATTGGGGCCACAGCCTGTACCCAAGACAACGGCTTCGCGCTAACCGTTCTGGTCGTTACCAACCACCTAACAATGCTTACGTCGACTTGCTCAATGCAATTATAATACCTTATAATACAAGGTTTTAAAAGGACTAGTAGTAAAGAGTTACAGAGCTCTTAGCTTAAAAAAGTTATATTAATTTTATATATATACTAACTTAGATCTTAAATATACTCTTTACACTCTAGTATCTTTCTAATTTTCTTATACTAGCTATCTAACTTACTATACTTAATAATACTAGTTTAGTAATTCTTCTTAGCGTTAGTTAGAGTAAAGCTATTTTATTATACTATAGTATAACTAATTTTAGCTCTTTAAAGTATTTAGTTAGTATAGTAGTATTTAAAGCTATACTATTTTTAGTACTAATAAGCTAGTTTTTAATAGTATAAAATAGTATTAGTACTTTTATAGCGCTTATAAAAGTTATACTTAAGTAGCTATTAAGTTAGTATAAATATAGTATTTTTAATAAGAAGACTTATAAGCTTATTATAATAGTAAAAACTAAGAAGTAAGTTATTATAAGAATTAGCTAGCTTACGTTTTAATTTAAAAAATATAAAGATAGTATTAATAATTTATATAGTAGCTTATAGTAGTATATTTAAAGTAGTATAAAATAAAATAAAAGTAGTAGTAATTAAGTCTTTTTAAGTATAAGTTATAGCTATATCTCTACTAGTAAGTATTAGTAAAATCTAGCTTTAACTAATAAGTAATAAGTTATATAATCTCTATAGACTATAGAAAGGTTAAGCTTTAAGCGAAGGAGAATTACTTGCAGGCGACACTCTTCCACTCCAGCAGATGAGACTTTCGGCAGTTCTTGGGACTCCGGGAATTAATACAAGCACGCGTGCAGAGTTTTGCAACTGGTTCAAGATGTGGGCAGACAAGGATCATTTATCATATACGCTCAAATCTATATACGATAAAGAAGCGGTGGAGCTCAAGCGGTTGCGAGACAAAGAGATGGCGGGATTGCATTCTAAGAGAGATGCTGCATGGAAGATCGAGGCCAAGATACGGTCGGAGGCGAAGGAACGTGAAGAGGCTATGAGGCGCGTTGAGTCTAAGAAACGCGAAGAAGCGAAGGAATACGAAGAAGCAAAGCAACGCGAAGATGCGAGAAAGCGGACAGTGCTCGCGCACGCCAAGGCCACCTGGGACCGCATGTTTGCTCCTGGGCGCGAAGATGCCAAGATCCAAATGGACAGAAATGTCAGGGCGTTAACTCGCGGGGCCTCTCGGGGACCGAATTGTGGTTTCTAAGTTTCCGGTCTCTTATCAAAAGTCGGGTGTCGCTCGATGACAGGTTTGGGAGAAGGTTCGACCCGCATCTTCTGGGTTGATGTTGACGTCGTTATCCAAGCTGCGACTTCGAACAATGTACATCCTGCACGTCGGTATCCATATTGCTTGTCTTGCATGGAAGAGAGCAGTATCGGTTGATGCAGGTGTATAGAAAGAGACAACGCCTTACATAGATGGAGCTGAGCCACCACGCTGTCTCAGCGGGGGGAGATGTGGACGAGAGAATCTTTTTCGTGTCTTGTCTCTGCAACGGAGTTTGTACCTTTTGGTACTCTTCGAATGTAGTTTGAAGATACGTAGAATCAGAAGCTCGAATTCTTTGCAATTGCTTTGCCCAACGCGCACATATGCAGTGACCCTCACTCCACCCATCACCACCCCAAACCCTCTTCGCATCACATCACGTCCCATCAAAACTCGATCCCCACCCCCAGTCCACCCCACCAATCTCCATCCGGCCATCGCACTACACCCCAGTCCCCGCTGACCACACCCAAGACCTTCCCGTCCCATCCCAGCCAATCACCATCGTCTCAGAAATTGCCGGGTAAGCCCAGCACAAGGGTAGCGAGCGGGGAACACCCGACCTCCAACACCGCATTCAACATGCTGACCATCGTTTTTATGTTCTCAAAGGCAAGCTGTAGCGAAGGAGGCTTTTCGGCGTAATCGTGATATACATCCAGCCAGTTGGGAGGTATTGGCCGAGCCGTGGTGGCGGGATATGGGGAATTGACGAATGGGAGGAGAGGATTGTGTACACGGAGACCGAGACGGGCGGCTTGGGAGACGGGGAGTGAGATGGATGAGTGGTTGACCAAGAAGAGGGCGTTCGAGGTCGTGTACCCCACCGTGCATGTGCATGTGGAGGAGAGGTGGTGCGCGATGGTGGACAGGGAAGTGTTCGAGTTGATAAGCACAGTGTACCCTGGGGTTGTAGTTCAAGGTTGCGGTTGATACACGACTGCACTACCTATCTTCACTCCACCAGTTATCCAATAGACATAGCTACTACAGCCAAACATGGCGACGACAACAGTGACCTCGCACAGCACAGACTCGGATCGCATAGACAAGGAGCCACATCTCGCACACACATCAACCAACATTTCTATCAGCCCAGAGCTATTCGAGAAGTTGTATCTCGCGCCGAAGACACCACATGCAAATGAGAACGTCGGAAAATATGCAAACGCGACACCCTTGGGTTTCCTAGGCTTCGTAATCTCAACCTTCACATTCTCCATGGTACTAATGGGCTGGGGCGGTGCCGCGGGAATGCAAGCAGTCGTGTACGTCTTTCCACCCTCCCTCCCTCCCCCATCCCATCCTCCCATCCCATCCCCATCTCCACCCCTTCCCTCCCCAACTCCACCCCAGACTAACCCTCCTCACCTCACAGCGGCATATTCTTCTTCACAGGCCCCCTCCTCCTAACCCTCTCCACAATCTTCCTCTGGATCCAAGCCCAATTCTTCCCCATGATGGTCTGCGGCCTCTTCGCCGTCTTCTGGCTCTCCTTCGGCATGTTGCAACTGCCCACCCTCGGTCTCGCCGCCGCCTATTCACCGACTGGCGATGCAGCAGCAGGGATGGTGAGCAAGGAGATGAACGCAGTCATTGCGTTGTATCTGCTTGTTTGGGGGTTCGCTCTGGCGACGTTCTGGCTGTTTACCATCCGGATTAACATGGTCTTTGCGGGGATCTTTGGGTTTGTGACGGTCGGGGCTTGGGTGTTGAGTGCGGCGTATTGGGCGTTGAGTAGGGGGGATTTTGAGAGGGCGGGGAGGTTGCAGAAGGTGAGTTACACTGGCACTTTTGAGGGGTGGTTACTGATGCGTACAGGCTGGTGGAGCGCTCCTGTTCATAGTCGGCCTGCTGGGCTGGTACATGCTCTTCGTCATTATGGCTGCAGAGATGCGCTGGTCGGTATGTCCGCCTGTTGGAGATCTTAGCAAATACTGGGCGAAGACGGATGTCGAGATTGGTGCAAATGCGAGCGAGAAGAAAGATTGAGCATGGGATCGTGTCCTTTTGAAAGCGACACTGATGTTATATAGATGGTGCGGTAATACTTTGCATGTAATTGCTGATGTAAAACTTTTTACAAGGACGCAGCTCGACGAGCAAACGAACTCATGGCCCTACAGTTCCCGCGACCTTCTTTTCCTGCAACTCTTTCCTGTCGCGTCTCTGTACAGCAACGGTCTTACTGGTGTACTTTCTTTTGTCTACCGACGGAATGAAGAACGCGGCGACCACCCCAAGCAGACCGAACGCTAAGGCCACTAGATACGACAAATGCGCACCCTCCAAGTACGCTTGCTTATTCCCTAAACTGGCTGCAGCTCTAATAGCAGGAGTTATACCTGGCATAGCTTGGTACCCGGCAGCTGTGTTCGCTCTCGCCGCGGTGATCAACCTGGTGACGATATCCGAGGAGAGATTGAAGGGGGCAAGATTAGCACGAACGCGCGCAGGTAAGGCGTCTCCGTACTTGTTGTTCGTAACGTTTCCAAAGATGGCGGTAGCGACAGCGCCAGCAAGTAGACGAGAGGTTCCCGCAAGACCGGCTGCAGTACCAATGTCTTCCTGATATACGATTCCGAAGCCGACCAAGACCATGCCGTTCAAAAGGTTGACAGAGGTACATGTCGAGATGATGACTGTTAAAATGATTGATTTGACGGGATTGTCCATTGTGGAGGTAGACATGGCACCGACACAAGCTGTCTGTAGGGCGACGGCGAACATGATGACCCAACGTTGGTGTCCGATAACTTTGCTAAAAGCCACGATGATGCCACCAATGATGGTTCCGAGTGGCAGAACTTCGGCGTACAAGCCTTTGGATATCTCGTCGGTGGCGTAGATGAGTTGGGATAGGCGTGGCCACAGAGTTGCGTTCGAGTAGTATTGCATTCTGTGACCCATCAGCATAAGCCATATAATCGAGTGGATCAACATACCCGCCTATGGCCATGACTAGCATAGGAACAGTGAAGTGGCGTAATGCTCTGAAGAGACGTGGCGGGAACAGTGGTGCTGTTAGATTATAGTAGGCCTCGTAGAATCCCAGACCGATCAAGGTGATCAGTCCAATGATAATAGGTGCAAGGACTGTCGCGGAGACCCACGGTGCTTGAGACCCACCCCAGCTGACACCGACGATGAATAGTGTACATCCGGCCAGGAATAGAAATAGCCCCAACCAGTCGAACTCGCGTAGAAGTTGTCCTGCAGTCTTACCATGTTCAGCCTTCTTATCCTTCCAGGATGGTGGGTGGTAGAAGAAGAACAGTAGTGCAAGGTTGATGGCCTGGAAGCCTATCATGACATAGTAGCAGATGCGCCAGTTGCCCGTCTGCTTGATGATGACCCAACTGACCAACGGCATGATCTGCGCTATGATCGAGGCGGCATCAAATAATCCAATGGTAACATGACGATATTTGCTCGGCACGATCTCTTGGACAGCACCAAAGGCCATCTCCAGGAAGCCGGAACCGCAGCCAAACAGGGCACCGCCGGCGATCATCTGGTTGATGCTTTGTCCTGTCGCTGAAACGATGCTGCCAATGATGAGGATGATAGCTCCGGCAATGAAGAACCATCGTCTGCCAAAGATGTCTGAAAGTCGTCCGCCAACAGTGACAAACATGGCGCCACCAAGGTTCCACGATATCGTAATCCATGTGTATCTCGGGTCCGGGCCAAGATCGGCGTTGATGTACGTAAGAATCGCTGGGGGTATGAGGAGGGTGAATAGGTAGGCGTTGTAGCACATGGCCATGGACACAGCAGCCATCCATGTGCGGACTGAGATGAGTTAGATATGACAGAAGCCAGCACGGATGTCTGGCATTACGCACAGGTCATGCCCACGTCTTCACCGGTGGTTTGTAGATGGCGGACGATCTCTTCGTTGGCATCATTGCTGTAGACGTAGTTCTCGTGATCCGATGTATTCGTGCTGTGCTCGAGCGCTTCGATGTGTGCCACCGAGGGCTCGCGATCTCCTTTCGCAGCCATAGCGTAGCAAATGACAATAGAGAAGATTACTACGAAGTACTGGAAATATCCGAATCCAGAGCTGCAGGATCAGCACTGTCATAAATACCGTCCCGCTGTTCCCTAGTGTGATCCGTCAGCTACCCCAGAGTCCACCCCAAACATCCCCACCCATGCGTGGAGATAGCGACATGGCACTTATGCACATGCAACAGACTCAAAATTCTAGTACACTTGGGGCGTTGTACCGATATGAGCATAAGCACTGTCATTGCCGGTTTGGGTAAAGAACTGCATGTCGTATGGCGTCAGTGAGGGAACATGATTGGTCACGGCTCCTTCAGTCGGAAAAACATAGCCAATGCCGACTTAGTATACCCGGCGTTGGCTATCGTTGTCCAGCGTGCGGAACAGTCAGCGGAGGATTATGCACTGGAGATCGCATTGCTGTGAGAGTTTTAGTGTCCCTTAGAGCGCATGGTGTGCCATTCACCTAATGCATCTCTTCCGATCTCTGTTCTCGTATCCGAACGCCCTTGAGAAAGGACATGTGATTGCATTCGCTCGTTCTCGTAGAATGAGATGTGGTATCGTGTAATACGCTGCGTACTTGAATTGCGACAGTAGTTATAAGTGGAAGAACAAAGATCATTTTTTGCCATAGCCGGATATCGCGAGTATGTCGTAACGCCTTCAAATGCTGTATCCACAAACGCCACCCAAAAGAAGGAACAAAAATCTCATAAGGCCTCGAGTTCGAAGTCGTCCAGCTTGTCGCGGTACTTCATGATGTTGCGCTTAATCTTGGAGGAGTCGACCCATGTGACGAAGTCTTCCATATTCCTCGAGACCAGGTAGGCTGGGTCTGTGATGACATCTGTTCCGACTCTTACGTGCTGTATGTTTGTTAGCTACTAGCTGTGTCTAGAGAGATAACTCCTAAAGAAATCATGTCCGGAGTCCAGCGTGCTTACCCCTTGTTCCACAAGTGTGACAGCAGATTGTACGTGATCTGCCATACGTAACCGAGTCATGACAACTGGCAATCTCCTCCGTGCGAACGCACTCACTGTGAGCTTGTGCTCGACATCGGATAGTTTTCCACGGCCGCCGCCACCAGTTCCCAGCAAGCCCATCGAG